TGAACCAGCAGGAGCTGGCTCGGCCCCTGCACCTGCGCCGTGCGTGGGTCATTGGTGGGTGTCGATGGTGGCCCCACGTGCTCTTGGGGAAATGTCACTACAGGCGCCACCTTTTGTTTGGGCGTAGCCCAGAGAAACCGCGAGGCCCTGGGGAAGCAGGGGCTGGGCCAGTGCGGCCGTCCTCGGTGTCTCTGGCCTCCCTCCCTTCGTCTCCTTTGTCTGCCCCTCCTAAGATCTGGGTAAGATGTGACTTCTACAGCAGTTCGTGTGACATGACTGGGCAGAAAGGAGTTCCCAGGCAAGGATGTGAAGCCAGAAAGCTGAAGCCACTTGGGTGATAGGTGAGGTAAGGAGGAAGCAGGGGACACTGGCTTCCGTTGTTGCTTCCTGATGCGGAGTTTGTGCCCACGATCACATGGCTTCCGTCCGCTGTCCTCTTCTGTTTTCTGCCACCATGGGCAATAAAATCCTTCTTCCATAATTCTTACTGGATTGGAAAAGTATCTTTGTGTTTGTCGTTCTGCCCTGCTCCTGGTTTGCGTCCCCCCCCATCCTGGTCACCGTCCTCCAGGCCACCTTTGAATCTGTGGCTGGGCCTTTTGAGTTGCATGTTCAGGCTTAGACCTTGTTCCCATCGTGGGCTAACCAGCCTGAAGAAGGTTCTCTGACACAGCTCCTGACACTCTCCAAAAACAATTTCTTGATCGTCATTAAGGAGCAGATGTTCCCGCTCCCTTCTCCACGGGGACCCTTGTGGGTCGCAGCTTCTCACCTTTTCTTCTCTTTCCTCCACTCCCCGAGTCCAGGCCTGGAATCTAGATGAGGCTTTGAGAAGAGGTAGCATCTCTTCTCCTTGAAGGCTCCTTCCTGGTGATACGTGGCCAGGTGGACAGAGGCTGGCTGACTGTTTCCCTTCTTGTTAGGGTCTTGAAAACAAAACCTTTCTTTGGAGCCTTCCCAGCGGCTTCCTCTGGAGAGTGGCCACGTCGTCCACTGGCTGAGAGATCACCCTTCTCCCGTCACAGGTCCAGCCTCCTTCAGGCAGACAGTCCCCCTCGGGTCCTGTGTTTAAGGAGACTGAGTCTCGCCTCGGCCCCCCCACTAGCCGAACAGGTCTGGGAAATGTGTTTACTCTGAGCCTCGGTGTCCTTAACTGTAAAAGGGATCAGACAAGGTTTGTGCGCCGATGTGTGTGTCTGTGTGTCAGACGCAGGAACGCACGTGATGTGCTTGGTGTCATCCTGGCCACACTCTGGTCCGCAGAGGTAAGAAGTGTTCTCGCCAGCCATGAGGTTCTTAGATTCTTCCCCAAAGAGATTGAGGGGCAGGAAGAGCGCCAGCTGCTCTCCGTTTTCTGCTGCGTGAAGTCCGTGCTCCCCTGTCGCCCCAGGAGTCTTCCCGTCTGGCAGGACCCCGTTTCTTGGCTCGCCGCGCTTTCGATGCTCGGGTGGCCGGCTTCTCCGGAGCCACAGGGTTCTCGCTCCGTCCGTCGGGAGCAGCCTTGGGGCCGTGTCCCTTCACCAGCAAGCAGCCGTCTGGCCTCCTGCCTCTCTTTCCTCTGCCTGCTTCAGGCTTTGGCTTGCGTCCTGTCTCCCACAGTGACGTAATGGCCAGTGGCCATTTAACCTTGTCCTCCATGCCCGGCGGTCCAGTAGTGACTCACATGCGTGGGGTCCCACAACATGTTTGCAGAGGACCTTACTTCTTCCCAGGCCTAAATGTCCTTGTTGCTTTTATTATTCCCACTGGAGAGACCGGGCTGGGCTTTTCTGTTCTGACACTTGGTCTTTAGAATAAAAAAACCTAAACGGGCCGCACAGGTCGCCTTGGTTCGCGGCAGGAGGGGGTCAAGGAGGGCAGAGAGAGCAGTCTGGCCGCCGACCGCTCTGCTGTTGTCACTGCACAGAGGCACCGTTCCACTTGAAGTCTTTCCTCTCCAGAGACCTGTTCCCAAGACTTGGGGGACAGGAGCGCGTGGTGTCTGTTCGGGGTGACCCTGGGTCGTAGCCCTAGGTCCTGGGTCCTTTTCCTGGCCCTGTCCCTGCTTTGTCCCCATCTCTCTTCCTTGTTTCTGGTCTCCTAGTGCAGGGGCTGCAGCGAGTCCCGTCGTGCCTGCACGTAAGACGGGGTCGGCCCCTCAACCTCTCCCTTCTCCCTGGGTCGGGCCCTCCCCAGATTTCTGCTCCGCGCATGCAGGAGTCTTCAGGCCGCCTCAGCAGGTCTGGCTGGATTCGCAGTCCTTGCGGCGGGGGAAGGACAGCCTGGGTGTCGGGGCGGGCGCGGACGCGGGAATGGCCCCATGGGTGCCCCGTGGGTGCCGGGGCCTGGGCCTTGGCTCCTCATGAGCATCGTAAACGCCCGTGAGGAGGCCCACACTCTATGTGGCCCGAGAGGACGGCCCGGTCTGCTTCTCCTCTATGTCGGAAAGTGCCCTGGGGATGGGACCCAGCCCACCAGGCGGGCTCCTGTCCTCAGGCCGTTTCCAGCCTCCTGCGGGGCAGCATGTGTCCAGAAGTCACGTGATACGCAGACAGTATAGACGCTCAGTTCTGAGAGGTGTTGGCAACCTGCCGTGGCTGAGTCGATTTCTGTCTGGGGAGGCAGAGGAGGCTTCCTGGAGGCGGATCCGGCCGCCGGGGCTGCCTAGAAGCCACTGCAGGCCCCCTGGGGCTGGTGCGTGCTATGGGAGGAGGCGGTGGGGGTCAGCTGGAGGGGTTTGTGCTTTGGTTGCAGGGTCAGAGGGGCACGTACTCGGGGAGAGGAACCTGGTGAGGCGGGAGCCTGCCCCGGTTGGCGAAGGCCCTGTGGGATGGAGGCCATGTGGCCCTGGGTGGGGCTCCGGGGACGCCAGTGAGGCCTGTGCTGTGAGGAGCCAGAGGCTCCTGGCTGGCCACAGGCTCTGGAGGTCACAGGGCCAGCGGGCTGGGAGCACTGGGCTGGGAGCACCGGGCATCAGGAGGACCGGACCTTCAGAAAGGACGTGGGGTCTGCAGGGCAAGGCCAGGGACAGCCTCGCTGGCTTTGAGGCTTCAGGCGTTGTGATGTTGGATCATCATGATGTCGGACCGTCCGACACACTGTGCTTCAGTGAAGAGGGAGACCTTTCAGCGTTTTCTTCCCTGGTTGCCCGTTAATGGTTTCACATGAGAGCTTCAGCATGAACTTGAACCATCTGCCATTTAATTTTGATATTATATAGTATTTGATCATAATAACAGTTAAAATTTTTTCCCTTCTATTTTTTTATTCAAGTGAATGACCTATATCTATTTTATCTAATAACTTTCTGCATGTATATGGTTTTTTCTTAATGAATAGGTTCTTTCTTTAGTTGCTGTTATATTCTACTTTGCCCCAGGATTGACATTTAAGGTGCCTTTTAGCTTTCTTTAGCGCTGCTGATGGGACTGTGTCTGCTACGAACAGACCTCTTGTATTTTGTTGTAGGCTTTGATGGATTCTAATCTTCCGAGGTTACAGTTAGAACTCTATAAGGAAATTAAAAAGGTAGGCCTTAATTTTCTGTTATTGAAAAAATTGTACTATTTCACTGTATTGAGCAGTATATGTGAAATTTTATATTTAATGAGTAAACATGTTAAGAGGAAAAGCTGTTTGGTAAAGTAGACTATTTTGTTTTTCTTTAAAAGTTTACTTTTTATTATTTATTAGATGAGATGGGAACTTAAAATGGTAATTTATTTTTTATCTTTATAATTAAGCTCACTAGATCTTAAAATTTTGAAAGTACTAACACATGACTTTTTCTCTAAAAAAGAAATTAACAATGAAAAACCTGCTTTTTTTATATGACATCATCTTGGTGACTGTTGTCCGTGACTTAAACGCAACACACCACTCCTTAAATCCACTCAGAACGGTGCCCCTCGGAGCCTGCGTGCCGCCCTCTGGAGGTTCGCCGAGCTGGCTCACCTGGTCCGGCCTCAGAAATGCAGGTATGTGGACGCTCTGGATTATGGTGAGGGGCCAGCTCTAGGGATTCTTCACATCTCAGCTCAGATGTCCCCTTTTCAGAAGTCTTTCTTGTCCACTCTGCCTCCATATGGCGGTCGACGTTCTGTTAAGCGCGCTCAGAGATATTCTTGCACACTTAGCAGCGTGCTCGTTCCCTTTCTGCGGGAGTAGAAAGACGGGAGTAGAAAGAGGCGTAGGAGTTGAGCGCCCGGGGGCAGCGGGGTCTTCTCGGTCTGTCTTCTGCTGTGTCTCAGCACTGGTCGTGACGGTATCTGCACGTGGTAGTTGCTGTAAAGGTCCTTGTCAAATGGTTGGAGGTTCCCTCATTATTGTTCCCTGTAAGATTTGTAGAAATATAAATTTCCACCTGTTACCTGGGTTAAAACGTGAACATTAAGCTGTGAATAATGTTTTGACTAGTTGGAACAGTTCTGTCTTAATGGATTGAAAACAAAAGAAGGCCCAGCCTTCGGCTCCTTCCTTCTCAGCTGGCCCCCGGTCAGAGTGCGCGGGCCCTGGGCCCCACCCCCGAGGAGCCCAGCCCTCACTGAGGACGCGAAAGGTGGCTGTTCCACTGAGTCTGAATTTAATACGAATCTGATATGGCTGTAGAGATATGATCGCTAGGGAAGTTTCTTTTTATATAACTTTTGCTTCTCCTATCCTTACTTTGAAAAAATTGTTAAAATTCTCCACATCCCAAGTTCTCCACGTAGCAACCAATGTGACCCTAAAAAGCATGACTGGGTCAGGTCTTTTCCTGACGTGAACTCTACTCATCCCCAGAGCTGATCATCTAATACCCAGACTCCTTCATCAGGGCCCAGGGAGCCCCTGCCCTCGACAGCCCCGTCACCACGCACTCTCTGGAGACTCGCTGGCCTGGTTCTGCTTCTTCAAAGAGTCTGGTTTCTCTTCCTCTTGACGGCTAGCTTATTTTTCCCCTCTGGTCTCAGCAAAAAAAGTCATCTCCTTAGAAGGGCAGGGCTGTGCTCGCGCACGGTGTCCCAGGAATAGACCGGCCTGTGGCCTTCTCCACCAGCGAGGGCGCCTGCACACCCACCCCGCCAGGGTGCCTGCACGCCCACCCCGCCAGGGGACTCCCCTCTCTCGCTCCCACCTTCTGCTTCCTCTCTAGAGGGCCAAGTACCGCGCAGGCCTTATTTAATTTGAACACTTAAAAATTCTTTGTAATGCTTCTTTTCTAAAAAACCTTTCTTCTCATTTCTTGACTTTTATTTTTTGAATGGTGTTTTCTTGTATTACCTATTTTCTAATTTAAAAGGTGTATTTTAATTATTATTATAATCTACTGCAAATAGTTTTTAGACGAGCTTTTGAGAGTCCTCTGGTTGCAGGAGAAATGAAAGCTGAGTGTCTCTCAGCATTGGAACTCCGTTTGCATTTAGTCCTCTTGCTGTTTTACAGAGGCTTGTCCTCTTTCCAGTGCAGGTTGTTTTGCATATAAAAACTGGCTTTTCTCCAACAGGGACTAAACTAATCACTCACGTTTCTCGTTGAAGCGGACCTGGTGGAATAACCCATGTTCTCACATGCGCAGGCCTTACTTGGTGAACCTTTTGCCCTGTCTGACTCGAACAAGCAAGAGACCCGAGGAATCTGTTCAGGAGACCTTGGCTGCAGCTATACCCAAGATTATGGCTTCTTTTGGCAATTTTGCAAATGACAATGAAATTAAGGTATGTATGATTGTTACCTCAAGCACGTGAGTGAGGCTGGCGGGGTTAGGGCTTTCGGACAGGCAGTCATTTGAGAGGATTTCCTGAGGTCTGTTGTGCTTCATAATTTGGGTTAGAAGCTTTCGAGTTGCCTGGAGGCACACCGAGAGCGTGTCTCCACTTCTGCGTTCTTACGTGGGGGAAGAGTTGAATAGGGGGCTGGTTTCTGCCCGCAAATTCCTGGGTGCCATGTCTCTGCCTGTCTAGCCTGTGCCCTCGTTTGGTCTAGGTGTCCCCTGCCAGCTGCCTTCTACAAGGTGTTCTCGCGTTATGGGACCTGGACCTGAGAAGGTCCCTCGAGCTCTCAGAGTCAGCTTTATTTTTTATTATTGCAGACTGTTCCGGTTCCCCACGGGCTGACTCTTCGTGATAATGCTTAGCTTTCGCTGTGCTTTGAAGTCTGAACTGACAGACTAATTCTTAATTTATCATTTCAGTGATGTATTTGTATGTTTACTCAAAGGAGTTCTTTGAGACGCCACTGTCTTTTTTTGGAGCTAAAAAAATTTGTCAGAGATAGGTTCACTGAGTGGTGTCTCTCTGGGGAGGAACTGGAGACCACCAGCCACTGGGGATGTGCTGTGGCCCGCAGTCTGCTCCGTCACCTCTCTGGTTCCGGACATTTAACGTGCAGGTTCACTGGGAGTTGATGAGCCTCCGGGAACTAGTTCATGCTCACTTCACTGTTTAGGAGAAAGTTGTTTCTAAGTCCGACACCGGTCTGTTATTTGCTGCCCCTTTGCCAGGGGCCATACCTCCAGTAGTGGGGCCCTGGTGGTGTCACTGACAAGGTCAGCAGTGCTCAGCACGTGCTCAACAGGACTTGGGACAACTCGTGTTCAGAGCATGGTTTAGAGTGATGGGAATGAATGCTGTTAAGCGACATCAGCATCAGACACCTGCAGCCGGCTGGGCTGCCCTTCCCTTCCTTGGCTCAAGGCTCAGGTGGCTGTGGTTAGTTAGCACTGTAGCGCCCTGTCTCTGGGATGTCCTCAAAGTCCAGTGACAAAGGCTTGCTGTCTGTTTCTTAGGGAAACGGCGTGAGTATACGCTGTCACAGGTCAGTGAAGTTGCCTGCTTTCCAGACCCGAGGATGTCTCAGGGACGTCTTAGCAGCATGTACACAAGTTCTCTTGGGTCAGGATGTCACTGTAGGTGGCAAGCGCTCTCTTCACTTCATGATTCGTCCTTTATTTGTACTGCATTTACTGTACACGGTGTCATTTACTGATCCTGTCCTCAGACACTGTGGGTGCAGCTTTTCCAGAGCTGGGGCTTCCGCTCTCGTGTGGGGGATACAGGTGCTGCAGTCCCGCCTGGCAGGCAGGCAGGAAGCAGACCGCGTGTTTGCAGACCGCTCTGGGACACACTGAACTTGGGGCTTGTGTCTGGCCTTGGAAAGCCTCCCGTTGTTGATCACTGATGTTCCACGAGGCCCCGGGGCAGGCTGAGTTTCACGAGGCCTGGCGAGCTTCTCAGGAGCCTCTCCTCCTGCCCGGGGCGTTTTGCGTCCGCAGGTCCTGTTAAAGGCATTTGTAGCCAACCTGAAGTCCAGCTCCCCGACTGTGCGGCGGACGGCGGCTGGCTGCGCCGTGAGCATCTGCCAGCACTCCCGAAGGACGCAGTATTTCTACAGCTGGCTGCTGAACGCACTCTCAGGTACGACGTGGTGCTCCTGCTGCTGCGCCCACGTCTGCTCCAGATGGACCTCGAAACTCTTTCAAATCAGGCAGTCAGTCCCTCGGCCCTGGGACCAGGCCCTGGGTGCCAGCCGACTGGGGAATGGGGACTAGGTTTGAGCTGAGTGCTGAGAGAGGGCTGCTCCCCTGGGCCCAGGACAGCCAGTGGGGCAGTGTGTGCGGGCCAGCGTGCCGCCCCACCCACCTTCCGAGACCAGGCCCTCCGCGTCGCCAGACCACACAGCAGCCGTGGTGGCTCTGAGTGCCATGAGTCCCCAAGGCCCGAAGCCGAGCCTCCGGGCCCTGCAGGTTCTCTGTTGGGGTCTAGGTCTGCTGACACTTTCTCCTGTGCTTGGGGCTATTGTGGAGTCCACGCTAGCAAATGCCAGAGGGGGTGTGGGTGTTGGACATTGGGTATGAAAGAGCCGGCTGAGTTTCTGATTCCCCAGAACCCACGACAAGGCCTTGCCAAGCCGCAGATGTAAGGCCTCCCTTTCAGCCACTCCGGGGCTTCGGCTCACGATGAGATACGCACGTATTTTCACCGTGAAGTTTGTGTCATCTTTGTCCCCCACTGCCCACCTCACGAGAGGGTTCTGTCGTGGACCTGTTTTTAACACAGTAGGCTGTGGATCGCCAGGTAGTGGGTCAGATGTTACGAGGTCTCGTTGCCGCCTCTCTAGGTTTGCTGGTCCCTGTGGAGGATGAACACCCCACCCTCCTGATTCTTGGGGTGCTGCTCACATTGCGGTACCTGGTGCCCTTGCTGCAGCAGCAAGTCAAGGACACGAGCCTGAAAGGCAGCTTTGGGGTGACACGGAAAGAAATGGAAGTCTCTCCCTCGACAGAGCAGCTGGTGCAGGTAGGAACTGCCAGTTAACTCTGGTGCCGATGCATAAGTGACTGCCACTCAGAAAACTCACGTGAAAGGGAGGTGACAGGACCGAGGAGTGATAGCGTGGCCTCTGGAGCCGGACCACTGGGTCCAGGTCCTAGGTCACGACGCCTGGCTATGTGACCTCTGTACGGCAGTCCCATCAGAGTGAAATGAAGGTCCTCGCGTAAGGGTGCCGAGAGTGTCGCATAAGCCCCGACCCTGCCAGGCACAGAACACCATGCCCTGTTTCTAAACTGGGGCACGTGAGATGCGTTCACCTGCTCAGTAACCACGGAGCTCGCGCTCCAGCTCAGCCATGTGTGTCCACGCGGTGGGCTCCACGCGGGGTTCTATTCAGTCTTTAGACTCCACTTCTAGGCAAAGCACGTAGGATTTAAATAGTTCCGTAGTAGTATGTAAACGTTGAAATCCTAATAACGTGAAAGTAATGATGTTGCTAACAGTTGGGCAGGTGAGGTGAAGGCAGTGTGGGACGCTGAGGTCCTTTTCCCTAGCGAGTTTGTACACAGTTAGATGGCTGCAGAGTCAGGGCGCAAGCTGGTTGTCCAGAGCAGGGCAGCAGCCTTGTCTGGAACAGCCCAGTGCCCCCTGTGCCCCCGCAGCCGCCTGGCACAACTTTGTGTGTGGGGGTGTGTGTGTGGGTGGGTGCGAGGGTGTGGGTGTGGGTGTGGGGGTGTGGGTGTGCGGATACGGGTATGCGGGTGAGGGTGTGCTGGTGCAGTTGCGGGGATGCGGATGCGGGGGTACGTGCATGTGGGTATGGGTGTGCGGATACGGGTATGTGGGTGTGTTGGTGCAGTTGCGGGGGTGTGGATGCGGGAGTGTGCAGGTGCGGGTGTATGGGTGCGAGTTGCGGGTGCAGGTGTGTGGGTGCACCTGCAGGTGCGGGCCGCGTTTGCCTGGGACCGCGACCCGAGCTGGGGACGTCCCCGTCAGAACTTACACACATGAAAAAAGTAGCCACTGCTGAGATTTGTGCTTTTTAATTTATACCCTTTACACTGTCTCTTTTTAAATGTTAGTGTTGCTTTTACGACGTTAAAGATTGAGCTGCCCAACTCAGCAAGCAAAACTAGAGTGCCAGTTAAATTTGAATTTCAAATAAATCATGAATAATTTTGTGGTGTAAGTGTGCTTGAAATCACATGAAACATAGTTATACAGCGAAGTTATTTGTTACTTATCTGAAATTCAGATTTCACTGGATGCTCTGTATTTTATTTGGCAACTCTAATAAAGGGAAAAAGAATAAGTTCGTTATGTCCACGGGATCTGTTGTAGTGTGTTAAGCAGTAATATCCAACATAACGCCTTAAAGGTTTTGAGAACTTTCTCAGTGACACTCAGGGTGATCGATGGTCCTTGCTTAAGCGTGTGTCAGAGTAACTGCTCAGTGAGTGTGGGGCTTCGTTCTCCCTTCGCTGGTCACCAGTTCAGGGAGATGAGGTCTTAATTAGGCTGTTCTGCTTTTGTGGACGTGCTCTACTTTTAAGGAATTAATGTAAGAGTGAAAAAAATCATGGAATTTAGAAAACTACGTAGAAGCTAATGACCACAGTGGTAGATGTGACAGAGAAATTTTTAGGGGCAGAAAATAAGGCACAAATTTTGCCAATGTAAGACTGTCAAACACAAAAAAGGTGACCCCTCGTCATGTTAGAAACCAGAACGACCCTCTGCGTTTGCCATCTACAGGTCTACGAACTGACTCTGCGGTACACGCAGCACCAGGACCACAACGTCGTGACTGGGGCCTTGGAGCTCCTGCAGCAGCTCTTCCGGACGCCGCCCCCAGAGCTCCTGCAGGCGCTGACCACGGCCGGCGGCCTGGCGCAGCTCCCCGCCACCAGAGACCAGCCCGGGGGCCGCGGCCGCAGTGGGAGCATCGTGGAACTTATAGGTGAGTCACTGGGAAAGCCGACTCCGAATGAACCCTGCAGCGATGCTGGTTGCCCTCTGTCGGATAACGGTCAGCCTGGGTGTGTCAGGCACTGTGCACCTCCGCTCCTGAAGACAAAACTCACAAGGCAGGAATCGTCCCGACCTACAGACGGAGGAACCGGAGTGTGGAAGGCGAGGCGGCAAAATGAGGTCGGCTCCCTCCGGCTTGGCTGCCTCCACGTGGCCTTTCGTCTGTCGCGAAATGAAAACGTTAGGGGAGGTATTTTCAGGACCTGTCATCTCTGTCCCTGTGCCAGAGGTGGGATCCTGAAGTCTTCTGGGGCGTTCCGAGTTCCTTTCTGCCCCAAGGTCCCTCTTCACTGTCCTGACAGCTTAGGAGACCCCCACTCCTCCCCACAGCACCTCCGTGCTCCGGGCTGCGCCCTGGGCCCGCCCCGTGCTGCTGCATACCGACCACTGGCGCTCCATGGCTGGCGGGCCCTGTCTGACGTGGAGAGACCCCTCGGGCGCCAGACGAGACGGGAGCCCTGAACCGCAGCCTCTGGGACTGCGTCTGGCACGGTGGAGGCTCCTGCACCGCCTGGCCTCTCCTAGGCCCTGTGGCGTGGGATCGATTTAGTGCAGCCTCCGTGTGGCGTGGCCTCTACTCACAGCTTCCACAGCCTAGTCGGACTTCGGTTAATTTGTCTAATTGCTGCTTCATTTAACATAAGTGTTTGCCTGAACCACGAGCAGAAAATGTTAATATGCCCGTTCCCCATCCTTTGTACTGAAGAGCCCTTTTCTCTGTGGAATGCATGCCTTACAAATAATTGCCGAAATACTCATTTCTAATGATTATTTCTAATGAAAATTTCTGTTTATTAGTTGACCAAGTCATCTGAGATTTCTGATGGTTTTAATTTGGCTCTTTAAATACTCTTTGTTTGAGCTCTTTTCACATTTTAGGTCATGTCTTTAGAACTATATTGAGTGGCGATGTAGTTTTCATGTTGAAATTTAAGTGTAGCAGTTTGGTGCTTAAGCACCGCCTGTGGAAATACATTCACATATTCTCTAGTTTTAAAGATGAACCAAGCTTTTTGAATATTTTCGAATTCCTTCTGGATTTTAGCAGCTTGTTCCCTTACTTTCATCTGTCATTTTCTGTGATTTACAGCCGGAGGGGGTTCTTCATGCAGCCCTGTCCTTTCAAGAAAACAAAAAGGTGATTATTTCAGAAATCAGAGTCTCAAATCTTACTGATCTTTCTGTGTCCGTAATACAGTCGACTGTGCCCATGCCTCTTCTCAGAAGAGGGTTGTGTGTGTAAATATTGCTGGGCTTGACCAGGCCTGGTAGGGTGGCTTTTACAAACTGCTTGTGTATCAGAATTGCTTTGTCATAAATTTCTATATTTTAGGTCAGTGGTCAGCAAACTTTTCTGTAAAGGGCCAGGTGCTACATATTTTAGCCCTGTGGGCCTCCCTGTCTCCTTTGTAACTATTTGACTCTGTCCTGTGGTGGGAAGGTAGCCGTAGGCAATACTAAGCTAATGGATCCTGTGTTCCAGTAAAACTTATTTCGGAAGCAGGCGAGCCGTAGTTTGCCTACTGCTTTAGGGAGTATGCTATGTTTTATAAAGATAACTTATCTTCCCAGTGAATTTTGTTTAGTATTGATCGAGAATAATGTTTGTTTAATTATATAGTTAATTTGGGCCCGGTTATCATTTTTCAGCCATATTTATCTTTGTACATGCCCAAGTGTTCTGATGCAATTAATTTATTTTTATTAGATCAAAGTGTTTCTGATATAATCCGATAGTTTTGGTACACATTATCACTTCGCAACAGCAATTAGCTTCTTTTCTAGTCTAGATTTCCATAGGAAGTAATTGCTGTCATTTTTTAATTTTGAAATCTTCAAAGACTAAATCTTTTTTTATTGTGGTATAATTGACCCACAGTATACTAATCATTTTTGTGTCATGAGTTGAGTATTTAATTGAGAGACTAATGCCTAATATTATTTGCAGTATTGAATGGGATCTTAACAGGACTAATAGTCTAGCCTTGACTGACTTATATGCTGGAAGAACTTAGAAGCAATAATATTTGGGCCATCATTGTGTGGGATGCTTAATCAACTTTGAGATTTTGGTGAAACACTGAGATTGTTTGAAAGCAAAGGGATTTTAGGAAAAGTTCGTCTCTCTGTTCTTGAATTTGGAGATTCCCAGGCTGAGTTCCTCTGATGCTCGTTTTGCTTGTTTCTTAGCCACTCTGTCCAGTGATGATGATTGAAAGATGAGTCACGTGGTTGAGACGAGTTGTTTCATTTTCTTCTGTCTAGGACGTTGCTATGTCCTCAATCTTTTTTTATTTTTCCAGTGTTTTTTTGTTTGTTTGTTTGTTTTACACTTAGAGCTGTGGTTTTCAATTATTTATTGTTGTAGCCTCAAAATTCTTTTTTTTTTCAGTTGAAATCTTCCAGTACATAAGAGAGAGAAAAGCAAAATTGTCGTTGTTGGATGTAGGATCAGGCGAGGCTGGGGAATGTGGCCTGGCATACCTTCTCTGGCAGCAGCTTGCCCTGCCCTCCCCGATTTGCAAACCGCTGATTCTGGACAGAGAGAGACTGCTTTCACTGGCTCCTGAGCACAGGCGGGGGTGGGGGTAAATTGCTTGCTCTGTAATAACGGACCCTTCTATTTCTCTGATAACCTGTCGTCATACCAGTTTCATCTAAATTTTAGGTTTCCTTTGCTTTTTTTTGTCTTTAATGTCACATGAATGTATACTTTTGGAAGTTGTCACATGTATGACCTGTTCTTTGAAGAGCAGTGAAATTAGAAATTATAAGTTACTCATAATTATTTTGATAGTGTCATTTAATGATATTTATATATACTGTAACCATAAGATTTAATGAGTTAAGTCATGTTAAGGCTTTTGTTTTCTTTTTTTCTTATTAATACAGTTTGGAAACTGTTGTAAAATGTATTTTTAGAACTTTGCAAAACCTGAACTATTATTCCATCTTCCCAGATCACACAGTGCTTGAGTTCTGACTGTCAGCCATGGAATCTAGCAAACTGAAAGATAATAAAAGTGACCTTTAGGTATAAAAGTGTTACGTGTAAATTCCAATGTGCCATTGGAGACCCAAGGGCTAATGGGATTGGTTCTAACCATTCTTAAGACTGAAAAAAAAGGTGATATAAATTATTTAACATTATCAGTAATCTAAGTCAATAAATATTTACTAATTATTAAAATTTTTTTTTAACGCTTACAACACCTGGTCTTCCTAGGTGGTCTCCCATCCAAGTACTAACCAGGCCCGACCCTGCTTAGCTTCCGAGATCAGACAGGATTGGAGCTTGTTCAGGGTGGCATGGCCGTAGACTAATTATTAGAACATTTTGTGGTACAGTTTGAGAATAATTGTTTTAAACTTCTTTCCATATAGGTTTATTGATTTTAATAGTACTCTATAATATCTCTGCATTCTTCGTGTTTAGCACTCGTATGCAAATATATACGACGAAGAGCTGTTTGAGAGGGTGATCAGATACGCTTACAGTTTTCCACTTAGACTGTGCCTTTACTTGGTTTTCAAAGTCCCTCCTTTCAGTGAGCCTAAACGGACCCTTGCTTCGTCTCTTCCTAGGGAAAGTGCTCTTTGGAGAAGCAGCCACCTTGGAGGATGACTCTGAGTCAAGGTCGGAGGCCAGCAGCCCAGCCTTCACAGGTAGCTCTCGGGGAGTGGCAGCAGCGTCCCTCTGCCCTCCACCACCCCCCGCCCCGGTCTGCTGGCCCCTACTGCTGCCTGTCCCTTGGGTCTCTGGGGGCTCCTGCTCCTTAGGCAGCCGCTCATGGTGGACAGTCAGGCTTCTGGATAATGTTTGCTTGGAAGCGTATGTGCGTGTTCTCTTGGTTTAGGCCGCTTTGAAGTTTGTGCTCCTTGTGGGTCTTTGAGTCGGGGATAGTGGGTGTCTGTCTCATGACCTGCGCGGGTTGGGAGGGGGGAAACGGGACTAAAAGTTGTCTGTGGATAATTTAACTTGGAAGAACTCTACGTTTGTTTACAGATAGTTTGTTAGATTCTTGATTCACATTATAAAGGATGAGTGTCCACTAAGATACTGGTAATTGGGTTAAACGAGAGTGGTTTGGGTTGTATAATCCTATCCAAAAGAATATTCTTAGATAACTGAAAGTAAGGCTAAAATATTTGGTAAGGAAAATCTGAATAACACCAGTGTTTATTATTCATTTATTTTACAAAATATAAATTGACTTTTTAATTATAAAAGTAAAGTTAAAACAACAAAAAATTCTCAATAACAACAAAAAAACAAACAATCCAATCAAAAAATGGGCAGAGGACCTGAACAGACACTTCTCCCTAGAGGACACACAAATGGCCAACAAATATATGAAAAGATGCTCAACATTGCTAGCTATTACGGAAATGCAAATCAAAACCACAATGAGATACTATCTCACACCTGTTAGAATAGCTATAATCAACAGGACAAATAATAACATGTTGGAGAGGAGTGGAGAAATAGGAACCCTCATACACTGCTGGTGGGACTGCAAGTTGGTACAGCCACTGGAAAACAGTATGGAGGTTCGTCAAAAAACTAAGAATTGATCTACCATATGATCCAGAAATCCCTCTACTGGGTATTTACCTTAAAGACTTGAAAATCCATGTCTGAAAAGATACATATACACCGATGTTCATAGCAGCATTATTCACAGTGGCCAGTACATGGAAGCAACCTAAGTGTTCTACGATAAATGCTTGGCTAAAGAAGCTGGGGTACATATATACAACGGAATATTACTCAGCCATAAGAAGAGACAAAATATTGCCATTTGCAACAGCATGGATGGACCTTGAAATAATCATGAAGCAAAGTGAAATAAGCCAGATAGAAAAGCTTGAAAATCACATGATAATCACTTATATGTGGGATATAAACCTAATAGCAACAAATGAATAGGACAAACAGAGATTCATGGACGTGCACAGTGGACTAGTGGTTACCAGAGGGGAGAGGAAGGGCGAAAATAAATAAGTAAATAAATAAATAGATAAATAAAATATAATCTGAAAAAAAAACCATACAGTTGGGAAAAAAAAAAAATCAACAAAAAAATTATAGCTATCTACATCATTAAATAATGCTCAAGTGCTCACTGACCCAGCGGCCTCCAGGAGTAACCACTGCTAACAGCTTGGCATAGATCTTTCTGGAGTAGATTTTATGTGATGTTATTGTGTTTAGTGGGAATCTTAAAACTAAGTGAGGAAAATGCGGTGCAGATTTATGCTATGGGAGAATACGGCCAACTTAGAGGTCTTCAGCAGGGTCTGGGAAGAAGGAAAGCCTCCCTCAAAGTGACAGTGTGTCGACTGTCTTTTCTGAGCACTGCTTGCCCAGAGCATCGGGATGTCTGTGAGGGCACGGGCCCATGCCCCTGCCTGGCTGCCGTGCCCGGCCCGTCAGTTGCGGGTCTTCGCGTGTGGCCCCTAGCGAAGGCCGCAGCAGCTGTGTAGGCGCTTGACGTGCTGACGTCACTGGGCGTACACTGTAGGTTCGCAGTGAATACCGTTTGGGAGAATTCACAGCACCTGAAATGTGTCTGCTGCTGATCCTTATTTTATTAGTATGATGTAACACAGCAGTAAGACAGACCGTGGAAAGCAGTTTTGGTCATGTTGGAAGGGTGCACTGTTGTCTTGTTTTGAAATATCCTAGTTCGTATATTCACTGTACTTCGGCGGGGAGGGGGAAGGTTCTTAAAATTAAAATGGTGATGGTGAATTTTAGGGTATTTTGCAAATATTTTGTCCCTGTTGAATATTTTTTCCCCGCCCTTTGAGGAATGAGTGTTTCTTTGTCTTCAGCCTCAGCCAAGGGTGAGATTGGTGGTGAACTGGCTGCCTCTTCCGGGGTCTCCACTCCTGGCTCTGCCAGCTCAGCCGCCGACTCCACGGGTCACGACATCATCACTGAGCAGCCCCGGTCACAGCACACATTGCAGCCGGATTCGGTGGATCTGACTGGCTGTGACTTGACGAGCACTGCCACCGATGGGGACGAGGAGGACATCTTGAGCCACAGCTCCAGCCAGGTCAGTGCTGTCCCGTCCGACCCTGCCATGGACCTGAACGATGGGACCCAGGCCTCCTCACCCATCAGCGACAGCTCCCAGACCACCACCGAAGGACCAGATTCAGCCGTGACCCCTTCGGACAGTTCTGAAATCGTAAGTGGGTGCCAGAGCACACCCCAGTTTCTGCAGAGGGGTCTTCCTCGGAGGCCCAGACCTGGTCCCTCCTGCTTACTCCCCTCCTCCCGCCTGAGCCACTAATAACAAGCAGAGGCCACCAACTCAGACCAGAGGTGACCCCGTCTTAGACCTGGACCGAAGGAGATGGCTGAGTGTCATTTGTGCTGAACATGGAGGCCAGAAATTAGTTGATGACATGGACTCTGCTAAAATTGAGTATATTTAAAATTCTTTAAGACCTTGGTGTGGGCACAGGTGAAATCATTATTTAAAAAAGTCTTTAATCAGCCTAATATTAATAGATCTGTACGCTTAATGTAGTGTGATTTATAACATTAATTCTGTGCATTATTTTAATACTTTTCGACTTTTCAAAATGTTTGCAACATATCCCATCTTATAGAGCATGGATTTAAGTAGCTCTGATCTCTAAGTTAGTGGACAAGAAGTACCTCAAAGATAGTCCAGTCAAAAGTTTGGCATATGAGGGTTTTTTTTCCCCTCTCTTTAATTCCCCACCCTCCTGCTTCCACCCTGCTGACCCATGGATGTTGCCGTTTTCCCCTTAAGAACTGGATCTCTGAAGGTGGGGCGTCCCCTCCCACACGCTCGCGGCGTGCACCCAGGGCCTGGCGCACCCGGTATGGTCCATGGCTCCACCTGGGGCACGAACCCAGGACCTTCTGCTTGCAAAGCAGACATGCTAACCACTATACTGTGGAGCCACCCCCGCATATGAGCTTTTACGCCCCAAATTTATTTATAAAAGTTTGCACAGCTGTTTTGCTACTACTGAATACGTTTTGTTAAGAATGTGGTTTCATTTTGTTTTACTTGGATGAGTATAGAAACATTGGATTACAAATCAGGGGCTAAAGCACTTGGGTGTCCCATTGAGAACTTGTCACGTGGATGTGGTTTCTAATGGCCGCGTGGGTCTAGTTACTCGGTCAGAGAAGGGCGCTCGCGGTTAGCGAGCTGAAGCAGAAGACCAGAGGGGGACGGGTCACCTCCTTGGCCCGGTGGGGAATGATTCTCAGCAAGGGACGGGTGACTCAGTGCTAAGCAGCATGCAGGGAACAGGGACGCTTGGGCAGGTGCTGGCTCGGGGCGTTTGACGTCAGTGCTGGGGGTTCCTGCTGTTGGTTTATTACCCCAGCTTCCACGAGACGCCTCGCCGCTCGCTTTACAGTGGCTGGCTTTGGACAGATTTGTTAGAAGTAGGAATAAAGGACCATAGGAAATGATGGAAATTTCCTATTTTAGGAGTGTTTCAGATGTTAAGCGTGTGCTGTGCTGGAACTGGGGCCTGCGGGCCTCTCTGGCCCGTGGGGAACCAAGCTGTCCTTGCTACTTCTCAGGTTGGTACAGTTCTTTCTGATTGGCAAGGTGCTTCCATGTCCTGTGTCCAGCCCTTGATTACCGCCCCCTTGTCGGTACAAGCTGGGGCGGAGTGTGCACAAGCTGGGGCGGAGCTCACAGGGAGTGTGCACAAGCTGGGGCGGAGCTCACAGGAGGCTCCTAGTCTGGAGCAGGGGCCGGAAAGTAAATCTCTTTGGCTTTGTGAGCTTTGCGACCTTGTCACAGCTCTGCCGCTGGAGTGTGAAAGAAGCCGCAGATAATCTAGAAATGGGGGCATGACCGCGTTCCAATAAAACTACGAACTTGGGTGGCAGGACAGGTCGTCGTTTGCCTCCCCCTAGGCTAGAGTGTGTGTTTGTAGCGGGGCAGGTGACAAGTTAATAGTCAACAGGAGAGTAACTGCGTAGTCAGAGGGATGTAAGTGCTGTAGAGAAAAAGAAGCAAATGGAAGGGGACAGGGACTTTCCTCGTGAGACAGCTCAGGGTGGGGATGAAGGGCTTGACTCGGGGCCACCGGGATGAGCGTTTGGGCCTTGCTGGTCAGCTGTGTAGCCTGGAGCACTTTCTTATCTGTAAAACAAGGGTGGGATGGGCCTGTGTGGCAAGACCTCCAGGATTAGGATTAGGGATCTTGACATGTGTGCTCTGATCTGGCCCGGCATGCACTGAGGTGTTCAGAAACGTTTTTTATTGTGTGAAACTTCTCATTTAACCTGTTTTGTTTGTCCGTTTTTAGTAACTAATCTGGAAGACGGGGAGTGGAGGAGATCATTTTTTTCCTTGGTTGGTTTTGATCACATAAGACTTGGGATAATTTTTTTTAAATGATGTAGAATTTACTTTAGTAATAATTTATTAGCATATTGAGGGTTCATTATTCAGTTTTTCAGATAAATTATATGGGATTTCAAATGGATGTGAAAAGTTTTGTAGTATGGAATTATAACCCAGTTTATGGCTACGTACGTGAAATACCGTGTCCAAAACAGTTGATTTAGTCCTAGCAATTTAGGAGGCAATCTGTTTATTATATTGTTAAGTTTTTGTCTAAAAGATTTTCCTCATTTCTGACTGACTACGAAGTTTGCTTATGAAGACAAAGGTTTTGTTTGGAATTTTTTTTTTTTTTTTTATATCAAAGAGAGAAATTTCCAGATTGGAATTTCTTTGGAATTTGTAGAGTTATAAAAGCTTTCTGTAATGTAGCAGTAACGTGTGACCAACAAGCTCTTGATGATTTACGCACGCGCATCCACGTGCACTTGAGGACTGGCCTTCGCGTTAGATGTGGCTCATGTCACTTAGCGGTGCCACCTTTGCGCTTCCGTGTTGAACGTCAACACTTGGCGACGACACTTCAGAACCCTCACAGCCTTGAACCGTTTAGGTGTTAGATGGCGCCGACAGCCAGTATTCAGGGATGCAGCTTGGACCGCCGCAGGAGGACGGCGACGAGGAACCCACGGGCATTCTTCCCGATGAAGACTCAGACGCTTTCAGAAACTCTGCCATCGGTATGTCGACTTCAGCTGACGTGCTTTGAAAAGGTCTCGTTTTCAACCCCAACATCGTAGTTTTATCTTAGCTTCTAGATATCTTTGTTTTCTGAGTTGTAAGCAGCGGATGAGGAAGGATCATCCTTTTTCCTGCTCTAACGCCTGTACTTTCATGTTGATTGTGTGTAGAATTGTGTATTTGTGTTCGTTGGAAGCTTAGTCTCGACTTCTGTTTCTTTGAAGCCCTTCAACAAGCACACCTGTTGAAAAGCATGGGCCACAGCAGGCAGCCCTCTGATAGCAGTGTAGATAAATTTGTGTCGAGAGATGAAGCCGCCGAGCCAGATCAGGAAAACAAGGTGAGAGGCTTCGGCTGGAGACGGCGCGGCGTTCCGCGCTCACACGGCGTACAGTGACACCGCGGCGCCGTCTGTGCAGCATGCGCCTGGCTCGCCCGTTGTGGAGTTTTTGCTCAGCTGTTTCCTTTGAAAATGGGCCTTTCCCCCAGGCCTGCTCCTCCTTGCTGCCTCTCCAGGCACCGGCAGTCTTGAGACTTGCCTGAGCCTGGCCTCCCGTGAGAGACCGCCCCAGACAGCCCTGTGTTAGCCGGTGGCTCCCTCATGGTTTCTCAGACCTCTCACTGACGGTCGCGCATGGCCTTGCAGCGTTTCTTGCTTTTGCTGCATTGAATGGATTTGTTTGTTCGTGTATTATGGTGAAGTACACATAACAGAATTTGCCAGCTCAGTGGCATCGAGCACATTCACACTGTAGTGACGACCACTGCCGTCATCTCCAGGATTTCTTCATGGTCCCGACGGAACCTCTCCCCGCACTAAACAGCGACTCCCCATCCCTCTCCCCCCGCCCCCGGCACCACCATCCGCCTTCTGTCTCTGGGCATTTGCCTGTTCTAGGGGCCTCATAGAAGTGGGGTCATACAGGATTTTTTCTTTCACGTCTGGCTCATTTCACTGAGCGTGATGTTCTCCAGGTTCATCCATGCCGTAGCAGGGGTCAGAGTCCTTCCCTTTTAGGACTGAATAATATTCCATTATATGTGATACCACAGTTTGTTTTTCTGTTCATCCGTTGGTGAACACTTGGGTTACTTCTGTCTTTCGGTGACCGCGAATGATGCTGCTGTGAACACGGGTGTATACACACCTCTTCACGACGCTGATCTCGGTTCTCGTGGGTAGGCATCCAGATGTGGAATGGCTGGGACATATGGGAATTGTGTTTTGAAGTTTTTGAGGAACCGCCTGTCCTCTCAATTTTAAGTTTCTTTAGAGCAAGAAATAATGCTTTGTACTTAGTCCTACACAGATGCCCACTGTTGCCACCTTGGTCGTTCCTTCCAGGTCCCTTCATGCCAGGCTTGCCCCCTCCCAGCTTTGGGCTTTCCCTCTGCCTGAGGGGCTTCTCCTTGTCCTGAGGGTGGCGGTTCACGCTGTGCTTCCCTAAGCAGCCTCTCCCACATGCTGGTCTCAGCTGCCTTTCTACGCGGTGCTCCATCCCTGCTGCAGCCCACGTGACCCTGTGCCATAACTGCCTCTGGCTGGGCTGTTCTGCCTTACCGTGGTGTGTGAGGTCAGGCGTGTACGTGGGCAGAGAAGCATCTCTGTCCCCAGTGCTGGCATAATCGCTGCCCGGGGAACTACTTGTTGAGTGAACGAGCGAGTGAACGTATTGGTTCTCTGATTATAAGACAAATAAGTGTCAATTTCTCTGTTCTAGCCTTGCCGGATCAAGGGTGACATAGGACAGTCCACCGACCATGATTCTGCTCCCCTTGTCCATTGTGTCCGCCTTTTATCTGCTTCATTTTTGCTAACCGGGGAAAAAAATGGTAAGTATGGAAGGGCAGGTGCAGAGCTGAAGGCCGTCACTAGTTTCGGAGGTCAGCTGGGTGACCAGGTTGGTGCCTGGTTACTGCAGCCGGGGGAGGGAGCGAGTCGGCAAGTGAGGGCATCGGGAGGAAGGAGGAAGTGTTGGGCAGCGGCTTTAGTGGGTCTAGTTTTGTCTGTTTGGAAATGAAATGCGGCTTTGATGCTGAAGGTGACTCGGGTGGTTGCTTTGCAGCGCTGGTTCCGGACAGGGACGTGAGGGTCAGCGTGAAGGCGCTGGCGCTCAGCTGTGTCGGCGCCGCCGTGGCCCTTCATCCTGAGTCTTTCTTCAGCAAACTTTACAAAATACCTCTTGACACCACGGAATACCCTGGTATGTTAAAAGTTCACACCTCCTTCCTCATGTCTGATCCTTATTGTGAAAACTATTCCAAACCATCTTGGCCCTTTTTAGAGCAGTATGCTTTTTGAGGTAGTTTGTGGCGTTTGAACTGGTGGCAGCTCTTCACCAAACACAGATAGTAACGTAGCTTCTAGGACTGTCAATGCGATGCTTAGTTAAAGCACAGAGTAATAGAATTCTAGAACGGGAGCCAGTTTACTATGCACTGGTTTTGTACCGAAAGCACAAACTATGTATTATGTCGGCATTGCTTTGGATCGCCCTGAGGCAGGCCAGGTGTTCACACTCAGACACGTGGGAACTGAGGGTGGCCAAGGCGATTCGCCCTGAGGCAGGCCAGGTGTTCACACTCAGACATGTGGGAACTGAGGGTGGCCAAGGCGACTCGACAGCAGGCGCAGTCCCCTGCGACACACATTCCGGGACGTGTTCTAGTCGTGGAGTGAGTGGCGGGAAGAGCTCCACTTCGGAGCCTCTCCTCCTGCCTTCTCCTTCTTGCTTTTTCTTTGGGCAAGGGGACCAACTTGTGCTTTTGAATTTATGTTAGGTAAGAGCAGGCTCGTTTGAGTTTCTCTAATTTTTTTGAAATGAAATCTGGGAATTTGCTCATTGGCTGACAGCCTAGATCCTCACCGGTTGTGCGGTGGCATCAGCCGTACGATGGATCTGGGGTCTCTGGTCCCCTAGCATGGCCACTGTGTCGGGCCTTGTCCAGATTTGGCTCGTCCCTCGCCCTTGATTTTCTTTGCTGAGAATCGAGCTTTTGCGTGAGTTAGGAAAGCGAAGGAGGCATAGCAGCTGGGTGATCTGTCCCTGCAGACGAGCAGTACGTCTCGGATGTCCTGAACTACATCGCTCACGGAGACCCGCAGGTCCGCGGGGCCACGGCCATCCTGTGTGGGACCCTCATCTGCTCCATCCTCAGCAGGTCTCGCTTCCGAGTGGGGGACTGGATGGGTGCTGTCAGGACTCTGACAGGTAACGGCCGATTTTCAGGACTGGCTTTTCTAGGTGTCACGGCTAAGCTTGAGTTTACGTAACGGTGTTTGCTGCTTGTTCTTCTGGTCAGGAAGTACATTTTCTCTGGTGGACTGCGTTCCTTTGCTGCAGAGAACTTTGAAGGATGAGTCTTCCGTTACTTGCAAGTTGGCTTGTACTGCTGTGCGGGTGAGCATAATTATTTGTTCATGATCATACTCGTTTCTTTTGAAGTTTTAGAAGTTTTTACTTTTATTACAATTAAAGTATCAAATGTGCCCAGACATTCTAAAGCTGTAAACATTAATAAACATCTGTGTATCCACCACTCAGCTTTAGAAAGAAAACACTGCTGATAAAGTTAAGGTTTAACAGACTTCCATTTGAATTTTAATTCTCAGAATACGTGTTTGAAATATACTTTCTCCTAAAGCGTGTATTTGGAAATTGACTTTGCTAATATTATGTGTAAAATTAAAAACAATAAGTCCATTAGGCTGTAGAATAAGAGTCCAGTGAGGCGTAGGGTTATTGAGCAGCTCTGTGTTTGTGTCCGTGGAGTGGCCTCTGTCCTTTGCGTGGTGGCAAGTCCAGCCTTATATACCACCTGGGTCATAAATCACAGCTGGCCAATCAGCAGCGGGAGAACTTAACCAGTAGAAATTAAAACAAAAGCCTTATAATTGTCGAACTTATAGGATGCCTTCCCTTTTTAAAACTTCATGGCCTGGCCGAAATTGTTCCTTAATCCCAGAAGTTTGCCAGATTTAGGTCGAGCGGAGGGAAGTGTGTTGGCAGCATGGTGAAGCGACTGGCCCCGTGCCAGTCTGTGTGGACATGCCCGCGTGTGTGCTCAGGCGCAGGGAACGGTGCAGCCACAGAAGTCCTATTCTGTCCCCTTGTGTGGCAAAGTACAGAGTAACATCAGCAAGGGCGTGGGGCCTGAGATTTGTTTTAGAAGTGGGTGGCGCTGCCCTGTCTTCCTCTTGACCACCGGTAAATGTTCGTGAGATTAGTGTCTGAGAATGGAGGCCGTGACTTAGGCAGAAATGAGAGGAAGAAGGAAATGGTTATGTGGATGAGACACGCTTACTTCTACACTCGAGCTGACTGAGATGAAGTGTATGCTAGAAGTACCTCCGAGACGCGGGACGAGTGTGCGCTGGTAGTGCCACAGACCCCGGCTGTGGCTCTGGCCTGTCACACACCCCGGCTGCGGCCTGTCACAGACGCCGGCTGCGGCTCCGCTCACTCGAGCTGACTGAGATGAAGTGTATGCTAGAAGGACCTCTGAGATGCGGGACGAGTGTGCGCCGGTAGCGCCACAGACCCCAGCTGCGGCTCCGGCCTGTCACAGACGCCGGCTGCGGCTCTGGCCTGGGCTGGCCGGATGCGAGTGCCATGGCCTTGCTTTCAGCATTGCGTCGCGAGCCTGTGCAACAGCAGCTGCAGTGACCTGGGCTTACAGCTGATCACCGACGTGCTGAGCCTGCGGAGCAGCTCGTACTGGCTGCTGAGGACGGAGCTGCTGGAGACCCTCGCAGAGGTTGACTTCAGGTGAGCACATCAGGTTCGTCCGCGGAGCCCGGGCCGCTCAGCGTTCGCACGAGGCATCGAAAGGCGGATGCAGGCAGTGGTCGTTCCCAGGGAGCCCGTGCGGCAGGAACCTCGGCGTTTTTCTCCGTCTCGGCTTCGCTCTATTCCCGGAATCTCTAAGTGCAGGCAGAGGAGGGCATTTTCCTCATAGTCGTTTAAGTGTCCGGATGGCGGGAATAACGTGGATCAGACTATTAAAACCACGTAGCTCCCATCAGTTCTGCTTCCTTAACAGGAATGACATCGTTTTACGGAACTCAGGTCAGGTAGCTGGTTTGTATTTTGTTGCAACTGAGAAATAACTCGATGCGTTGCAGCTTTTCACTTTCCAGGACTGAGTTTCGGTCCAAGTTGTTCCCTTGGAAGGGAATTCCCCTTTGTTACCGGTGTTTTTCGCCGCATCTCGCCAGGCTCGTGCTGCCGCCCGCAGCCGGGTGTTTTCTTGTGTCCTCAGAGCATCTCCGACAAGTAGGGATGGACCGCACTTGACAGGTGGGCACTGGGGGAGCTCCTCCCGGCCCACAGCCGGTTGCCCCCCGCCAGCGGCTCCCCACCTTCTGCGCTTGGCGCCCGAGCCAGTTCTGCTGGGCACTTGGAGCCTCCCAGAATAACACACGCTTATACTTGTTTTGAAGACGGTTTGCTGAGCACGTCTGGTTGGGTCTGGAGTTATGCGAGGGGCGTGGTTCCCCTTGCCGTCACACGGCAGCGTCGCCATCCTTTGGCGCACGTGCTGCCGCTCAGAGCCTTCCCTGTGCTCGGAGCAGCCCGCGAGCCCTCCCGCCCCGGCGTCTGTCTGTCAGCGGGTGTTTGCCGAGTGACACGTTGTTTCATCGTTCAACGTGTTCTTCCGTTAGGTTGGTGAGCTTCTTGGAGGCAAAGGCAGACCACCTTCACCGCGGGGCCCACCATTACACGGGGGTAAGCAGCTCATCTCGCGAGGCCACCTGTCACCCCCAGCAGTCGCGCTTTCTTGGTGCGGAATCGCGCCGAGTGCTCTCCGCTGAGGTCTGGGAAAGTTGGGGTCGCATGGGGTGAACTTAAGACTGGTGACCTCGAGTTCTTCCTCCCTGGCTTTCCAAAATATCTTACCGAAAGCTTAGCTAAATACAGAGACCGTGTCTGTGTCTTTGCTCTTCTCGCCAAAGCTGCTGAAACTGCAGGAGCGGGTGCTCAGCGGCGTCGTCCTCCACCTGCTCGGGGACGAAGACCCCCGCGTGCGCCACGTCGCGGCCGCTTCGCTAGTGAGGTACTTGCCGGATGCTTTTCCTTCCATTCACGTTTCTGGCGAAAGCACTTCGTGTTACGAGAATGGGAAAAGGGGAAGACTCAGAGGCTCGAGGGCAGTTTTTAAAATCTTTTGAGGTCATTGTCAGCTGCTCTTAAACTATCAAAAAAATTTATTCACTGCCATGAGAGTCTAAAATGACAATTAAAACAACAAAGTACTAATCTCCTATTGTAAAAGTAACGCACTGTCGTCAAAAGTTTGGCACATAGAGAAGAGCACCAAGGAGAGCGGGAACCGCGCTCGGCTCCGCCACTCGTGACGGCCGCCGTCAGCGTTTCGCTGTGTGGCCTCTGAACGGGTGTCTTTCTCAGATTTGAGACAAAATATACCGCGGTTTTGTAATCTGGTACTTTCCAATTAATGTATTGTTGGTGTCTTCCTGTTACCAAATACTCTTCTAAAAAAGAAATTTTAATTAGTGCCATTTGTACTATGTGATTGTGATAAATTTTTATATAGATATTTGGTTGGCTATTAAGTTTTCTTTGATTTAAATAAAGAATAATGCTCCAGTAACCACTGTTACACATAAATGTTTATAATTTCTTAAAATTAATTTCTGGAAGTTGCATTACTAGGCCAAGCTTTTTATGTTTTTTTTTTTTTCTTTTTAATTTCTAAAATCTTTTTAGAGGATAATTTACATCCCTTAAAATTCATGCATTTTAAGTGTGCAATTAAATATTGTTAGTACATTTACGGAGTTGTGTAACCAACACCATTATCCACTTTTAGAACATTTTCATCACCCAAAAAGACCCCAAATTCTCAGTTTCCAGCTGCAGCCCCAAGCAACCACAAATGTACTTCCTGACTCCAGAGATTTGTCTCTTCTGGACGTTTTCTATAAATGGGATCACGCGCTGGATGGACTTTGCCTGGCTTTTTTCACTTAGTGCTTGGGGCTCACCATACTGTGGCAGGCACCATGAGTTCGTTCTTTTATTGTTGAATAGTTTTCCATCATGTGGGTAACATTTTTTATTCATTCACCAGATGATGCATATTGTTATTATTTCCGCTTTTTGGCCATCACAAGTCCTGTTGTTGTGAACGTTTGCCCACAAGACTTTACGTGGACATACATGTTTATTTGTCTTGGGGAGATACCCACAAGTGGATTTTTCGTGGGTTTTGGTACTGTGAAACTGGTCTCCCGACGTGTACCAGTTTGTGCTCCCACTTGACCAGAATACGATTGCTCCCGATCCTTCTCATCAAATCAGATGTTTCAGAAAAAGTTAAATATGTGTTAGTTTTTTAGGCAGAAATTGATGTTTCCTTTTAAAATAACTTTTGTTTTGTTTTAAGAGTAACACATTTTTATTGAATAAAACTTAGGGAAAATATAAAATGGGAAATAAAAACCTTTGTAACCTAAGTAGCCCAAGAAAACTGCAGTTACATTTTGGTGTACATCCTTTCCGTTCTCAGCGTTGTCGTTGGCATGGTTTTGGCTACTTGTGAGATGTTCCTTTTCGTTGACCTAACTGGTCTGTGTGACTTGCCTAATCAACGATTTGGGATCTTTACCATTTCCTGCAAGTGATAGCAATTTGTTATACCCTGAAACAAACCGTGCTTAATGGCCAAGTCTCCATGGAGGAAAGAGGTTTTAATTAGAGATGTTGGGGTTTGCAAACCAGTGTGAGAAAGTCGCAGGTTGTGCGTCCCACCTGTAGGATTGTGAGCACACCCACCCACATGTGCACTGAGGCTGACTGCACAGTGAGCCCCCTGCTCTTCTGCAAAAGGGTCCCGGATTCTGCCTTCGGGTTCAGTTTAGATTGTGAGGGACCTCAGCTGCAGCCTTGCCGTCTGGGCTGGACGGCTGGTTCCGCGGACCAGACAGCACATGTGAGGAGCGGGCAGGCCTGGCCTGGCTGTGGGCAGTGCTCAGTGCTCCCGTTGATGCTGATGAGAGGCTCAGGGAGACAAGGCATTTAACAGGTGCAGAGAAAGGCACTTACTAATTCTACAGCAGACAGAAAGAAAGTGGACCACCTGGTTATTTCAGAGCGGGCGTGTGGCGGGGTGGCCCTGTGACCAGAGTCCCCCCGCCAATGTGTTTGAAGAGCAAGCGCCCCACTGACAGAGGGCCGTGGTGGCGTGTGGGTGGACAGTGGGTTAGGGCTAGCCACCTCGACAGGGATGGCATGCACACAGGTGTGCTTCAGGTACTGCCTGGAGTACATAAACTTTCCTTTTATGTTAGGCTTGTCCCAAAACTCTTTTACAAATGTGACCAAGGACAAGCTGATCCGGTAGTGGCTGTGGCGAGAGATCAAAGCAGCGTTTACCTGAAACTCCTCATGCACGAGACGCAGCCGCCCTCCCACTTCTCCGTCAGCACCATAACCAGGTAAGATAGCCAGGTAAACTAACCCGGCCTGACCTCGTCGGGGATCACGTGCCCTTTCCTGACGCCTTTTTGGGGCTTTAATCTAAAATGGATCTCCTAGGGAAAAACCTTAAGGCGAGGGTATACGAGTAGGTCCTCTTCCTTTGATAGGCTATTTCTTTTTCAGGATTTACTAGCCCACCTCTCTGTTTAAGCTCTGCTGAGTCACACATAGTGACATTACAGGCCACATACTGACGGATGTATTATTCTGTGTGACCCTGATTTCTGCTGTGTCTTATCTCAAAACTTGTCCATTAACTTTTCACTTTATTCGTGTTCCCTATGAAGAGTATGGTTATGTCGTGCCGGTTAATTTTTAGGTGAGCAGCCTAGTAAAGAGTGTCAGTGTTAGTTAGGGTCATTCACCAGTTTAGTGACTCGCAAGTGTTAGTCACGTTTATTGTGAGAAGCTTTTAAACGCAGTTTCACATGGCTCCGCATAGCGCATTCTCGCCTGAGTCTCTAGTGAGTGGCATGGACAGTAGAGGTCATTAGAACAGAAATGCCCTAATGAAGTTATAATTTTCTTTAGAGTTATAGTTTGCAAAAAAGGCCATAGAAGTAATAATGTGACTATTATGCTTTTTTAACTCTTTTAAATGTTATTTTAAAAATTAGTTTTATGTGATAATTCTCTGCCGAGTGGCAATTTTTTTAAAATTTGAGCTAACTGACTTCCAGGCTGAAATGTTCGCTTGATACTTTCATTCTGAATTTGGAACTTGGCTGTCACATTTTGAAGTCATTATTCTTAAATAAATATCACTTTTTTTCATTTAAAGACTGCTTAAAAAACTCATGGAGGTAATTTGATTCTCAGAGAATTTCCTTTTTTTAAGCTCAACTGGCATTTTCTGTCTTTGAAAAGATTCAGGGTAAATATTCTTTTATGATAAGAAGCAGCATGAGAGTATTTCATTAGCGGAGAATATTTTATCTTTTTCTAAATGCGATTTCAGAATGTTTAGATGCCAGCAGAGATGAGTATAACATTTTATTAAAGCTGGTCACTCACTGCTCCGTTGAAAGTTTTCCCGGTTCCCGACTCAGGCCGGCCCCTCGACGTGCGCTGTTCTGCTGGTTCTTGCGCGGTGAACACAGTTCCCCGTGGGGAAGCCGTGTTTGCAGCTCCACTGCCTGCTGTTTTACAGTTTATGTGACGAAGATAAAACTCTTCTTCCGGGCTTGTCGTTGAGTGACCCCGTGCCCAGGACACTGAGGGGCACGAAGGTGCATCAGACACTCCCCTGCCTGGGCTTCATTCACAGAGTTGGGAGTTAGAATTTGTATGTAAATCCCAGGAGGGGTCGAAATGGGCCGAGCCATGAGCAGAGTATGGGGAAGGGGCTGAGCTATCCTGTGGTGGAAGAAGGACTTTTTTGTCTCGCAAGGAGTAGTTTCATGACGGATCTGTTAACTCAGTGTGAGAAATGGGTGGCCTTGGCCGTGCAGGCTGGCGCGGAGGGCGTGGCCATGGCCCTGCACTGCCGGCGCTCGGGGGTCGGCAGGGAGGGCTGTGATTGCAGCTACTCTCACAGGATGAAGGCCACGTTCATTTCCAGTCTTGCTGTAACTTAAGTCAAGTAAAAGGCATTTAAGGTCTTGTAGCCTTTAATGTGAATCTTTTGAAATGGATTTTTAAGTCTCCGCATTTTTCTCATTAGAATATACAGAGGCTATAATTTACTGCCGAGCATAACGGACGTCACCCTGGAAAATAACCTCTCGAGGGTCGTTGCAGCGGTGTCTCACGAACTCGTCACGTCCACCACGCGGGCGCTCACCGTAAGTCTCCTTAGGGCGGTCTTCGTGAAGTATGTTTTCGGCAGTTCGTGAGCTCAGTTCTTAATTAGAGCTCTTATGTGCGGGGTGTACTAGGAAATTTTGCTTCTGTGAACAGATCTTGGTTTGTTGATTGGAATATAACACCTATTTTTCTGATTATTAAAGTAATACATGCTCATTGTAAAAAAAAAAAAAATCAGCCAATACAGGAAAGCATGAAAATGAAAATAAAAACTACCATAATCTCGTCTGATCTCGGAAGCTAAGCAGGGTCGGGCCTGGTTAGTACTTGGATGGGAGACCTAGGAAGACCAGGCGCTATAGGTGTAAAAAATTTTTAAAAAATAAAAAATAAGGGATTGTAAGCTGACAAGGTCCTTGCAATCTGTGAGGTCAACCAAGGGTTGCCTCGCCTAAAAAATAGAAAAATAAAAATAAAAAACTGCCATAATCTGAATTGATAATACATCAGAAATTTAAAATATCTCTTAATATAATTGACTCAGCAACTTTGTAACATATATATTAAGGAGGGAAAACAAATGTCAACAAAGATTTTTGTGTAATAATTATATTATTATTTATGCTGCTGAAATTGGAAAAGAATCATAATGTCCAAGAAACCAAGAAGGATTGAATTCTCTGTGGTAGCTTATTTATTATGCACCTATTAATATGATACTTGGAGATTTTTAATAATATAGTGAGTATAATCTGGATTCTAATATTGAGTGAAAAAAGGCACAACACAAAACTATGCTTGTGTATAGTCAGATCTTAGTTATGAAAAACAATATTCATGTGTATATATTTCTCATATACTCAAGAAAATGACTGGCAGAAAATTGCCAAAATGAATTTTAGGATTATGACTGAATTTTGTTGTCTTCTTTGCATTTTTCGGACATTCACAAATTTCCTAAAATGAGCAAGTGTAACTTTTACAATTAGAAAAAAAGAATATTGTACCAACGTAGCGTTAATTTGCTGATTACCAGGTTAAACCTTGTCTTTGATCTTGTGTGACGGAAGCAATGCTCGCACACTGTGGGAAACGCACACCGTGTGATTCGGGCATCTTGGTATCAATGCCTGTCAGACTTAGATATCATTTGGGTTCTTTGTAGTTTGGTCTTCCCTTGATTGGGAAGATATAAATAAATATTATTTATTTGTATGTATTGTGGCCTACAGGTGTCAGGCACTGTTCTAGACTTGGGCTTTTAAGACAGAGAGGACGCCCGCTCTGGTGGTCCTTGTGGTCTGCTCAGTGGGTGGGTGTGAACCTGTGTGAGTTTGGGAGCAGAGCTGAGCGGGGCGGGGGAGGAAGGGTGCTCTGGGCAGAGGGGGTGGCGCTGGGCCATTACTGTTCTGGGCAGAAGTTGCTGCACCGCTACTGGCCTCTCCCCATGGGGGTTTCAGCCACTTTCCCTTAAAACCTGGATGTCAGATGTCTAGCTATGCTTTGTAAGATACGGATTTGTACCATGGTAAGACAGTGTCCTAGCATTAGGCAGATCTCGATTGTGTTTCCATTGTTTGTACTTTTATGAAGGGTAAGAGGAGGTTCAGTTTAATAAACTCTTTTTGATTTTATTGTTCTTTTTTTCTTTAGTTTGGATGCTGTGAAGCCTTGTGTCTTCTTTCAACTGCCTTTCCTGTTTGCATTTGGAGTTTAGGTTGGCATTGTGGGTATGTATTTTTCTCAGCACGTGGATGTCTCCATGTGATACAGACATAGTTGTTACACTCCTGTTTTTCCTTTCTTGTTATTTTTTTATCATTTGGGCCTCTTGGGAAAATACCTGAAGGATGCTTGTTTCTGCCCTGTTGACCATGTGGGACTGGTGATAGGCACCGCTGGGCAGCACTGAGCTGGTGTCATTCAGGGGGTGTCAGATGCTTGCTGTTCAGCGTGGGGGATGTTATTTGCAGGTTGTTATTGAGGGTGTTATTTGCAGGTTCATTTAAGAGAATGCGTGTCCTGGCAAAAGACTTTTCTAATCGGCTTACTTCTCTCCAGAATTATTGATATTTATTAAACACTAAGAAACATTTTTGTTCAAAATCAAATGTGACCTATCATACAAAATCATGATGAACTACAAGGGTGTCATTTAGGGGCTGCTGTACTTACATGAGCAGTTTTCATTTTGAAATGACGTTCTTCCAGAGATGCCCTAACAGGTCTGAACTGGTTCCGGGTCTTCCACAGATTAAGGAGTGAGCTTCTTTTATGTGTCCTGATAACTGGGAAAATTTTAGTGACTCACCATCACATTTGGAAGTAAATTGCAGATTTCGTGTGTAATCAGCATATGACTGACGTTTGCTGAAGTGAACAGCGTTCTCTGGTCTGGAATGATCGCTCTCCTCTGTCAGCAGATAGCTACAGAGCAACCACAGTTTCTAGTCAGAGAGCCAGCACTAGACTTGACTTCTGAGCAGCTTTGGCATTGGAGTAAAATGTGCCATCTCAAAATGTAAACAAAGTTAAGTTGTCAAGATAAACGGTTATAATACCTTTAATCAGACCTTCTCAAATGATTTATGGGGCTGCGGTTTATAAGAAAGATGGTAGTTAACAATGGTAAAATCGCACCATGAGCCCATGTGAAACGTAGTGATGCGCCTTCCTCTTGCTGCTTTAAAATTTTTCTGCAATTTGACCTTGCGAACGTCTGCTTCCAGAGTGCCCCCACTGAGCGCCTCAGACGAGTCTAGAAAGAGCTGCACCGTGGGCATGGCCTCGGTGATCCTCGCGCTGCTCTCGTCGGCGTGGTTCCCGCTCGACCTCTCGGCTCACCAGGATGCTTTGATCTTAGCCGGAAACTTGCTTGCAGGTATCGGTACCAAGTTCAGACATGAACCCCAGGTCTTTAGCTTTTGATTTCCTTTTGACGGGTGGTGCTAGTGAGCCGTGACGGGAAGTGCTGTGAGGTCACTGCCAGCGGCAGCCTGTTCCGTTGGAGTTTCAGACGGTCTCGACACGCATGCGCGTGTCCTGCAGGCAGCTGTTCTGCATCGAGTATTTTAAAGATGCTGTTCGCAGCCCAGGCCCTGAGTTAGCCAGAGGTAAGCTCATTTCAGGGGGCACCACGGGCCTGGTACCTGTCAGGTGTCAGGGTGACATGAAAGTATGACATGTGGGCTCCGTTCTGAAGTCAAATGTAGATTAGAGGGGCACATGTAGACTAAGTTCAGCGGCAGTGCAGTGGCCGTAACCGCTGTCCCTTGGGCATTAGGATGGGAAACAAGATTTATGGGCTGGCAGGAAAAGGGTACATGAACTAACGGAGGGCACAGCACGTCCCAAGGCACGGAGACGTGAAACAGTGTGTGACATGCGAGTAAGTCATTTTGGATGTCACGTAAGGACAAGGACTAGGGCAGAGCATGGCCGGTGAGGGCCGCTGAAATTGGTGGGTGTGGGTGTCGCCGGTCTCCGTTACGGAGGACTTGGCCCGTTTGCCGTGGGACGGCACCAGAGAGCTTTGTAAGGGGGACTCACGGCCGCATTAGTGTTTTAGCGCCCAGCCGACTTGAGTGTGGGTCGGAGGAGAAGGAAGGGAACGGAGAAGGTTTGTGTTGTAGTTTAAGCGAGAGATGGACTTGAACGAGGTCGCGGCTGTGGAGTGCAGGAGGAGACGGATGGGAAGCGTGAAGGAGGCAGAGGCCGCGGGCCTGGGTCCCCTATCGAGAGGGGCCTCAGATGACTGACACGTCCTGGGTGGTGTGTGACGGTGACATTCATGGAAACTGGAAATACAGTCTGGGGGGCCGTTGTCAGTTTCCTCTTAATTTCGAGGTATCAGTTGACTATCAGGTGACGTCCGATGTAGATGAGTCCGAAGGACGCATGTTCCCTGAGCGGTTTCTGGTCCCCCCGCTGTCGAGGTGGGAGGTAACACGTGTGCCTCTATCACAGCCAGTGCCCCCAAGTCTCTGAAAAGCCCATGGACCTCTGAAGAGGAGGCCAGCCCAGCAGCCACCAAGCAGGAGGAGGTGTGGCCCGCTCTGGGAGATCGGAGCCTGGTGCCCATGGTGGAGCAGCTCTTCTCCCACCTGCTCAAGGTGGTTAACATCTGCGCGCACGTCCTGGATGACGTGGCTCCCGGGCCAGCAGTGAAGGTAACCGCGGGCTCGGGTGGTGGCTTCGTGGCTGAGTGACTGGGCTCCCGAGACTGTGTTCACCGCCCGTCCCTCCCTCCCTCGCTTTCGCTCTAAATGAGCAGGACAGCTCTTGTCGTGACACTGAGTTTCGCATCAAAACGTGATCACCCGGTTCGTAGCCCTTTGCCGTCCTCCTCAGATACTGTCCCCCTGGAGGGAGAGGGCTAGTGTCGTCCTTAGGCTTCAGCTCAGCCAGGAGAGCTCGGGAAGCGGGCGCTGCCCACGCGCTCCCTCTGCAGCGCTGGCAGACACTCGCTTTTCTGTGCCGTTCAGGAAAGCCAGCCTCAAAGCAAACGGTAAAGCGTTGGCACAGTGGCTTCGGGTGGATCGGCGCACTCAGAACCTTGCCTGCCTGTTCTCTGTCTTGCTCGTGGAGTGAGCGAGCAGCAGAGCAGGGGCCCGATGTCCACGCCCCTGTCACCGTCTGCACTGTGCTGCGGTGCCGGCTGCCTCCTGTGGCGTGGGGGCTGGCTATTCTGTATTCCCTTGTCTTCTAGCTCTGCTGCTTATTGGCCGTGACCTTGAATAAGTCACTCCATTTCTGAGCTCATTTCCTCATTTGGAAACCAGAGTTTAAAACGTTGGCGCACACCCTCTGGTGTCGAGGCCCCATAGAACGCCCGGTCGCTGCCGATGGAGGTGGCGTGCCTGGGCTCCCATGGCCTCAGGCCCCTCCTGACGCCTCCTTCTGCCCCTAGCACACCTGTTAGGAAGTTCTGGGTCCATGCCGACCGCCTGCAGTGTGCCGTGGCTAGAGGATGGAGCACGTATGGTGCCTGAGCTCTGTAGATGGGATTCAGAGAAGTCTGATGGGGCTCATTCTTTCCTGTAAATGCTAGAACCGCGTGCTGCCGTTTCCCGCGTCTGTGCGGTTGCACTTCATGAGCTCTCACTCTCTCCTAGGCAGCCCTGCCGTCTCTAACGAACCCGCCGTCTCTAAGTCCGATCCGACGGAAGGGGAAGGAGAAGGAACCGGCAGAGCAGGCGTCTGTGCCGCTGAGTCCCAAGAAGAGCAGCGAAGCCAGCCCAGGTATGGGGTTGTGACTGTGGAGGGGGACAAGGGTGCACGAGACATGAGACATTTCTATGACATCTGTGTCAGAGAAATTTAGGATTTAAACTTCTGTTCACATCAATGTTAATAGAATAATTTGGTATTTTTTGGAAAGAATACACAGCAGTGAACCCAGACACAGCTTCCCTGGGGGTGGTTTCAGATGTGAAATATTAATTACTGAAAGATTACCGACCACATTTGGCCTCAAGCATCTCTAAGCGTCCCTGGTAACGCGACGGGGACAGTGCAGGCTTCTGGGCCACCGCAGGGAGCTGGCTGGCTACTTCTTCCCTTCTCGTCCCTGCAGCGTGGTCGTCCCTGGTGTTCAGGGGAGGCGGCGGGTGGCCAGTTCCAGTGCAGTCGGGGTTGGTTCCACGGGGGAAGAGCTCTGAGTGGGAAGTGGAAGATTCACGACTGGAAGTGCCAAATGCGAGATAAAGAGGGATCCGGTCATGTGAGGGAGAGGACCCGGAAACCTCACAGACCCGGGAGGCTCGGCACCGCGGGGCCAGAGTTACACGGAGTAGCAGCTGCACAGTCTGCGCCACTCGTGGTGGGGGGCACTAGAGCCCAGGCCACGCAGGTGACGGCCGTTTGCAGACCCAGCTGTGCCCAGCTCCCGTGTCAGTGCCTGGGGCCAGTCGCGAGTCTCCCGTTCATTCTCCATGAAAAGCATATGTGTTAAGGCTTTTTAAAAGCCGCTGGTTTCTAAGGGTGACCGTGGTGCCGCAGGAAGATCTACCAGCTCAGAAGCTTCAGAACTTCACAAGTGCGGTGTCGGGATGTGACCTCTCACCTCTCTGGTGGAGTGAATAAACTGAGGACTCCGGGTCAAAAACCTCTAAAGCCAGAGTGGAGTGGTTTCATACAGTGCTTGGCCTTTCAGTGTTTAAAACTGCTTTAATGATGACGAGCGTACCCTTGACAGCTGGCAGAGCTTGTTTGTAGGTCATCCCTTTTGATTGCTTAAGGGCCACGAGCTAGCTTAGCCTGGGTCAACCCTGTCCTGCCAATGGCAGCTTTGGGCTCTGAGAGGTGGGCTGACGGCCTCTGGCTTAGCTGTTCATCTCATTCGCAAACAGGCAACCATACCGGAACAAGCAAATAATGGCATCATACCATTTTTTTCTTTTCTTTTATTACGGTTTGGGAGCTACTCAGATTTTGCTTATGTTTATTAGTGAATTTCTGATTATTTCTAATTAATCAAAAGTCAGAGAAAAAGTTTTTTAAAGTACCAGAATACTTTTAAAAATCAATATTAGCAGTAACCTGTTTTTAAATTTAGCATATGTTTGCTTTTGATCTAAAAGTTTATTTTGTATGTGTGTTTTTAAAGCCTCTCGACAATCCGACACCACAGGGCCAGTTACAGCCAACAAATCCTCATCACTGGGAAGTTTCTACCACCTTCCTTCATACCTCAAATTGCACGATGTCCTGAAGGCCACCCACGCCAACTACAAGGTGCCGCTGCTTTTGTAAACACGGGACACATGCAAGTTCCTCGTGGGTTGTTGCCATTTTCCCTCAGATTGGTAGCTCGTGTACATGCGTATTCATACCTGTGAGTGACTTAGGACTCAGGGATGTGAGTTACAATTAGCTTTTTCAAGGCTGTCTTCCAGCTCTATTTATGGCAGCTTCCAGGTCCTTCTTCAGGTCTCCTCAGAGCCCTGTGATCTTAATTCTCACCCTGTGGCCTCTGTTGTTTATTCAAGAAAGGCCTTCCTTCCCCACGAGCACACGCTCTTGACCGCCCCCTCCCCACCAACGCCAAGTCCAGGCCTCTCCCCTCAGTGCCAGCTGGAGTGACCCTTTCCCTCCTGTCTACCCCGGATGGGGCGTCATGGACTTGCCTATCTGGGGTCTGCAGTGGTCTCACTTCTGGAGTTTCCGTCCTTCCTCGGCTTGTCGAAAACACCCTCAGGTTGACGTGAGCGTGGCCACAGCGTTTAGATCCACTTGCATTTCGCCCCGTGTGTCTCTTGCCTGCTTTCGTGTCTGCGTCGCGGGTGGTTGGGTTTCATTCCTCCAGGCGGCTTCCTTTCTTTTTCCTGTAGTGCTTTTGCAGGGCTCTGGCCGGTTTTTATTTTCATGGTCAGTCTCTTCCCCTTGATCTTGTTTTTACATATTATATCTTTGGACCTGACCCATTCTCTCAGTTATTAAATGGGGGAATCGCGACATAATTTAAGCTGAAGCCTTTAGAATCTTAAATTAATACTTCTTAAAGCTAATTTAATGTTTTGCTGTAGCCAAACTGAAAGGCTGTGTCTGAATTTGATAACGATTTTCCCCAGGGATCCTAACATATATGACACAGAGCGTGTGTGTGGAGAGGGAGAGATGTGCTGCTTATCAGATACTGGTTATGATAGACGTTAAAGTTTGCTTCTCATTAAGATAGAAGGTTAGCAGTTGTTTTTGTCAGTAGTGTCTGTGTAAGTTGGAAGATGCCTTTGAAAGATTTTTGTGTAGCTCTCTGAAAGAGTAAATTCCAAGGCTTTTTCCCAGTGCTAAAACAGGCAAGAACAGCCCGAACGGTGAGTGTGTAGGGCTGCTGAGCGGAATGTGTCTACCGCAGCACACCACGTGTGTCCTCATTTTAGATGGCCAGATCGTGACAGTTGCCAGTAACCGTGTGTTCTCTCGCTCCACCGTCCCAAGGTCACCTTGGATCTTCAGAACAGCTCTGAGAAGTTCGGGGGGTTTCTGCGCTCTGCCCTGGATGTTCTCGCTCAGATTCTAGAGTTGGCCACTCTGCAGGACATCGGGAAGGTTTGTGTTTCTTTTCTCCTTCAGGGAGCTGTAGCTGGCACACCTGGTGCGCACCCCTGGGCCAAGTGCCTGTGGGGATGGGACCCCCATCCTCCAGGCACATTTAGAAAGTGCTAACAGCTTCGGAGAAGCTTCTGTGACCCTGCCACTGCTTATGTCACGGCACCTGAATCTGACTCTTAGCCTCAAATCGGGGCTGGAGTGGGTTCTATTTATATCTTTACAGTTATTTACCGTATATTAGCTTAGACCAAGTTTATTCTAGGAAATTGGCGGGTTTAAAACTGTTGACAGAACCCTCTAGCTTCTCATTTGACCTTCGCAAGTGGAAAGGGCAAAAACACCTAGCTGCGCGTAGTGTTCCTGGTGCCTCGGGGAGCCGCAGCGCTGCAGTGGGAACCCATGTTCTCTGCCTCCAAGTTCAAGAGTCTCCTCGCCCGGTTTTGTAAGGAAATGTTGAGACATTTCCTTACAAAGAATTGTGCGGTGCGTGCCCGTGTCGCATGCGCACGACCCAGATTCTGTAGGGCCGCTTTGCCACGTCTGCTTTAGAGTGTGTGTCCACCTGTCCTGCCCCCAAGACACCTTGTTTTTGGATGAATTTCAGCGTGAGTTACAGATGCCCCCCACCCCGAAACCTGCGTCTCCTTTAACTGAAATACAGTATATGTAAAGTTCAGATGTTTTCATTTCTCTAAATCTTTTTTTGATGTGCATAGAACTGACCTGGTTTTAGTCATCATACACGTAATTTTAATGTTTCTTCTCGTTTACTCCTGTGCTTTTTTTCACATGTCAGTTTGGCGCACACAGTGATTTTTCATGGCTAGCTGGTGTTCTGTTCTGCTGATACTCAGTTACTGTCCCGCAGAGTGAAGCTCGTCAAAGGATTTAGGGGTGGCCCCACCTCGGTGGGACCGTCTGGCCACCGTGCCAGGATCGCATCCCCCCGTACGCTGCACTCCTGTCCCTGAGTCCTCTCTGAGCACACGTCGGCACACACCCTGTTCGCATTGCTCCCTCGCCCCGGTGCCCGCAGGAGGGCCTGGAAGTGGCAAGCCCCCTACATGCGTCTGTGGAACGCATCGTTGTTAGAAGTCAGTTTATGAGGCGCTTCCAGGCTAGGATGCACACCAGGAGGTGTCACCCAGTCACCGTACGTCTCTGCCTTACTTCCCACAGTGCGTTGAGGAGATCCTAGGGTACCTAAAGTCCTGCTTCAATCGAGAACCAATGATGGCAACTGTTTGTGTTCAACAGGTGAGAACGTACTTTGCTGTCCTTTTCTTTTAAGCCTTTCACTGCAGGCATGGTGACGTGATGCTGCTGGTCCCGTGTTCGGCAACCCCACCTGTCTGTCACTCCTTTGCTCACTCCATTGTCGGGCCCAGAGGGGTCCTTTCCTGTCATTGTCCTGGAGGAGGAGGCTGTCACCATGGAGGGCAGAGGGTAAAGAAGTGCTGCCACACCCTTGCTACGTGGCAGCTATCTCGGTGTTCCTCCAGGTGTTAGAACACCCGGTCTCATCCAAGTCACGGAGACTCGAGACTGCCAGGGCTGCTCCTGACGGGGAGCTGCCCTTTGCGGCAGCGGCCCTGCTGTCCATCACAGTTCTCGGCAAGAACGTCACGGTCTGCGTGTTTGCTGACGTGCCCGGTTATTCTCAGATGGGTTTGATGTTTATCTGGGAGCGTTGCTCGTGCTCCATGAAATGACATCTTGATGGCTTCATTCTTTCACTCTAGCTGTTGAAGACTCTCTTTGGGACAAACTTGGCCTCCCAGTTTGATGGCTTATCTTCTAACCCCAGCAAGTGTCAGGGCCGCGCACAGCGCCTCGGCTCCTCCAGCGTGCGGCCGGGCCTGTACCACCACTGCTTCATGGCTCCGTACACCCACTTCACGCAGGCCCTGGCGGACGCCAGCCTGCGGAACATGGTGCAGGCGGAGCAGGACCACGACACCTCGGGGTAAGTGCGCCCGTCCTGGCCGTGGCGCTGGGGTCGGGAACGGTCTGTGGTCGAAACACAAAAGACCAAGCAGTGAACAATTTATAGAAGATGAAAAGAAATTAGCCGACGTTTTCTAATAGTCTGCTGTGTTCAAAGAACTCGAGGAAATGCGGTCACTACGGAGATGGCGAGGGCACAGCCGATGCCTTCAGAGAGGCGTGCGCACATGAGTGGGGAGTCTCGGGTGGCAGGGGGCTGGGCCAGAGGGCAAAGAAGACTGAATCGGCTCCTTGCAAAGCAGCCGGCCACCACTGCCCAACTGTCGACAAGCCACAACGGGGACATACAGTGTCCTCGTATGTTAAAGGCACTTTGTTATTTCCCAGTGCTCACCTTGTTTTCTTACAGTAAGGTGCTGTGTGTTGGGGGCACTTTTCAGGTCTGCAACTGAGGTAAAAGAATCTTTCCACATGGCACAGTGGTGCTGGTGTGTAAAGGTATTTGGAGAGTGTGGAAGTCTCAGATGATACTTGTATTTCGTAACTTTACAGCGAGAAGTCTCTTCTCACTTAAATTTATGATTGTGCTTTTGATACTTGGAATACAGTAGTTGTTTTTTAAATTACCATAATTACTAGTAGGTTCTTGAGTTACTACTCTGTGCAGTAACACAGAATTCCTTTTGTCCCTTCGTAGATGTATTAACAAGACAGCCACAGTGAGCACACTAGCATCAGGGACCAAGGCCAGCGCCCAGGCCCAGGCTGTGTGCCAGGGACGCACTTACTGTGTGTCCAAGTGTCAGGAATAAGGCTCATAAGTCCTCTGTTTAGTAATACAGGTGTGAATAAAAAATAAGTGGGTGCGTGTGACTGTATCTTACCGCCATTAATTTCATCTGTATTTCTTACAAAGAAAAGAGTGTAATTAATGTAAATAAAACTCTTTTCCAAGAAAATCGAGTGCTGCTTCTAAATCTCTGACTCTTTCAAATGACCATCACCGGCCCAGTCCCTCTGCAGTCTGGGCTGTCATGAGTGTCCTGTAGCAGAAGAAGCTCGGTCTGGAGTGGTCTGCCACAGGTGACCGGCCTTGAAGGCTGACAGCTGTAGCTCAGCGCAGTCTAATCATCTCCACTAAGAGAAGCACATTATGCCACTATGTCGAGTGGATGTCAAAGCCCTTCCTGACTTTGCAGTGTCCTGATTTTGTGAGTGTGCGTGAGGGGACTTGGGGTTTGCCGAGTGTGCGGAGCGTATCTAAGGTCATTCTCCCTGTGCCCTTTTCCTCTCCGGCAGGTGGTTTGACGTACTCCAGAAGGTGTCCACCCAGCTGAAGACAAACCTCACAAGTGTCACGAAGAACCGTGCGGATAAGGTAGATAGGCGCCGCGGGTGAGCGCGGGTGGCCGCGGTAGCGCTACGGGGAGAATCGGGTCCGACGCCATCCGGGTTGGTTGTCGAAGCTTTTTCAACTGAAGACTCACTGTGGATTCTTTCCTTGCTTCTTTTCGTAGAATGCTATTCATAATCACATTCGTTTATTTGAGCCTCTGGTTATAAAAGCATTGAAGCAGTACACGACAACGACGTCCGTGCAGTTACAGAAGCAGGTTCTGGATTTGCTGGCACAGCTGGTTCAGCTGCGGGTTAATTACTGTCTTCTGGATTCAGACCAGGTTTGTCACTTTTGTCTTTTATCTGCCATACCTGCTCATAACTTAATCAAAATAATCTCAAAAGGACACTGAGACTTCCTTAAACATGCAGGTGGCTCTCCCCGCACCATTCGCTGGCGGTCACCGGCTTCCTGGCCAGTTGACGCAGCAGGGCGGGCAGCGCACCTCAGCGGTGCCAGTGCCCTCGCCCTCAGCGCTCCGTCCGTAGGCGCTGTCTCAGGGTCACCCTTTACGTACTCGCCAGAAGTGTTTCCTGTCTTCACACTTTTTCCTACTCTAAGATAATCTGAATTTAAATCGAAAGATGCAATGAAAATGTATCATTTGGGGGATAGTTTTACAAAATCCAGAGATTTATTTCAAACAGACGATCCATTATGACGTTCAGTTTCAAGCAGTCTGCACTTAGCTCATCTCTTTAAAAACGAATATGCTCTAACGGGACAGTAACAGAGCCCTGTGCTCCTGGGTCCCCACGCAGGCCATTAGCATGAGCATTGGCTCATTCTCACCAGGTGGGACTCCACTGCCAGCCTTCCTCACGTGGTGGCTGTGGGGATGTGACTCTGGCCAGTTGCATTGCTCCCTGACGCACATGCTCTTAAACCAAAGCCCACGCCTACTATGTCACTAGAGCTAATGTCGCCGTTGGGCTGGGGCCTCAGTCACTCCCCTGCGAGAGGCAGGAGGTTTTTGAGTCGGAGTGCTGCAGTTCATCTTCTTCTGGACAGAAATGGTGCCTCGTCAGCATCGACTCGCACCTCAGGGGTGTCCTCCAGGAGCAGGCACAGACTGCCAGGGTGCTGACTTCCCCGCAGGTGCCCGGGCCGTCACCTTCTGATGCAGGGCCGTGGAGGGCAGTGCTGTGCCTGTCTTCCTTGTCTGCCCCCGTTATCAAAAGGGCCGTTTCTTCTTTGGGAAAGATGCTTTTTGGGGAATGTTTGGGGCCTTTATTCCCGTTGCTCGCCTCGTCTTGTGGGGAGAAGCCCTCATCTGAAGCTGTGGGATATGGTGGCCGTGGGGCCTGCGACAGGAGCTTAAGGAAGAAGCCTGGGGCCCACAGCCAGCACTGCTACCCGGGGAGGCCAGAGCTGGCGGCCTGTCCATTCTTTCTCAGATCTCCACCTGATGCTTAAACGTTCAGAGAGGACAGCCTCAGATGGCCTCCAGGCCGTGCTTCTCGGCGGATGCCTCGAGCTGCTCTGAAGCTCGTGCCTCCCCCCGGGGTCCCAGCACTTTCCGCCTCACTGCAGCAAGGCTGAGCCCCAACACCCCCTCACTTGCAACGTTAGGTGTTTTTTGTTTTTGTTTTTGTTTTGTTTTGTCTCTTGCCGTGAGTGCTTCAGCCTCGCGTTTTGTTCTGATTCACTTTCATGATTCAGGACCCGTGCTCCCCAGTTCTCAGGACCCACTACAATTTTGGTTTTTCTGAACAAGAATGGAAGACTAGAGTGGCCAGACAGACCATTGAACTCAATTGAGAGAATGGTTCATGGAGCACCTGCGACGTGTGGTCTGTGCCACGCCCAGGGCCTGGGAGAAAACGGTGGACGTGTGAGCTGTTTCAGGTTGGAGAGAGCAGATGGGTGCTTGGAATGCAGACACCCAGAAGAGGCTCTAACCCCGTCCTGACACACTGCCACTGTCCCCCAGGTTGTCGCTCACCTCGCAGCACCTCAGGGTCGGGCTCCCGGGAGGGAGGAGATAGGTCGCATTGGGCATCTCGCTACCCAGCCAGTGTCAGGAACTCTGTGCTGCTCGTTTTGCCATGAAGTGGAACAAATGAGTTCCCACACGTGGCCCCTAGGTGCTGCCCGACATGTCTCTTGGGGTTTATTACTTGTTTTTCCAAAGAGGTCTCACCTCAGTGTTCAGCGGATGTGTTTCGGGATTTCTGGAAGTGTCCTGTAATCGCCCAGTCTGATGGTAGAATACGTTGCGTTCTTGTATGCAGACAGGTACATGTGCTTTCCGGAGGCTGGTCAGATGGTTGCACAATGAGAAGGAGGACGGGGCCTCGTTTGCGCATTTTCATCGTTGACGTGAAAATTTTATTCCCCGCCACAGGTGTTCATTGGGTTTGTGCTGAAGCAGTTCGAATACATTGAAGTAGGCCAGTTCAGGTAACGGCATCTTGTGATTTTACATTTCTTGTCCTTGGTACGTAAGTACGTGTAATTTTAGATTAATAACCTGAACATACTTTAAAGCAGGGCTCCCCATCCCCTGGGCCCAGTCCATGGCCTGTTAGGAACCAGGCCGCACAGCAGGAGGTGAGCGGCAGGTGAGCCAGCGAAGCTTCATCTGTATGTGTAGCCGCTCCCCAGCGCCAGCATCACCACCTCAGCTCCGCCTCAGATCCTCAGGCGTTAGACTCTCATAGGAGCACCGGTCCCTGGTGCCAAAAAGATTGGGGGCCCCTGTTTTAAAGGATTGTTAGGCATTTTTGCTAGGTATTTTTTAATGGAAGTCTGATTAATATGCTGTGCATTTTTGTGTGTCTTAAGAATTAATGAGTAAGTATCGAAAGACTTATTTAGAAGCATTTGTGCGTTTGGTAATTACATATTGTCAGTTTTCATTTCACGTTTCAAAGCGTTTAATTATGATAATAGATTGCTACATGCAATCTCATCTGGAAAAACAGTGATTTTTTTTTAAATTTCTTAAATCATTTTTAGATATGGTTGTCTATAATAAGGGTAATTACTATGCACTTTACTTACTGAGCTTTCCTTGGTAGACAGGTTAGGGTTTTAATATCTGCAGTTATAGTGTATAATTATCGAAAATTAAAATTCTTTCGTTGCTGAGCTACTTTAAGTAGATAGGGAAGCAGTGCAGAGGGAAATGTTCGTGAATCCCTTGGGTCTGGAGACCCACTTTCTTATTCTAATTTTGCGACACCTTGACTGCCTGATCTGAGGCAAGTTGCTTTTCCTCCTCTGAGTTTCATCTTCTATTGAAGAGTGAGGGGCGGAGGGGGGCGAGCGCGGCCGGGTGCTATCTGCACACTCTCGCTCAGCCCTGCGGATCACTGAGCTCTCCACGTGGGCGAGATGGGCCTGCTCCAGATGTAAAACGGGGAGACAGATTGCTAGGGCTCCTCGATAGGCACTTTGTCCCTCTCAACCTTGAGCCAGGAGTATTTCGTTGTTTTCATCGATTATGTATCTTAATCTTAAAAGTAATTGTCTAAATGGATGTTTTTCTTTCTAGGGAATCAGAGGCAATTATTCCAAACATCTTTTTCTTCCTGGTATTACTATCTTATGAACGCTATCATTCAAAACAGATCATCGGAATTCCTAAAATCATTCAGCTCTGTGATGGCATCATGGCCAGTGGGAGGAAGGCTGTGACACATGGTAATGGCACAAACCTTGTACTGTGGTCTTCAATAGCCGTGATGTACTCAGCAGGGCTAGTCTTCATTGCACCAAGTTCCAGCTGTATCCACAACTGCTCTGTGCTTCGTAGGCTCTGTGTGTGTGTGTGTGTGTGTGTGTGTGTGTGTGTGTGTGTGCGCGTGCGTGCGTGCATGTGGAGAGAGCATTACTCTCAGGAGGTGAAAATATAAGAAACAATAAGATGATGTCAGGTACAGATAGAGACTGACATGAATACTCTTTTCATACAGAACACAATGTAAAAATGTCCCGATGTTTGTAAGGACTTCTGGTTTATTACTTGGTGTATCTGGAGTTAGGGTTAGGCCTTGACTCAGGACCCCTGTCACCTGGTTGCTATGTCGTAGGCACGTCCATGAGGACCGCAGAGAGCGGTCAGCTGCCCAAGCGACCCTTTACCAGCCTGTGGAACGCGGCTGAGTGGGTTCGAGAACGAGCCAAGGGCTTTCTCTGGACTCCTAAATGGACCCCCAGCATCCTCTGTTGCCTCCTCTCTGGCTCCACCGTTGGGACCCTGTCAGCTTTTGACCTTTGGTGGGGACACTTCCTTGGAGCTGCAAACCACAGATGGGGACACAGTGCTGCTGCGTGCAGTGCTGTCCACTCAGCGTACATGCGGGAGGGTGGACAGACGAGCTGGCACCTGCTCTGCCGCAGGTGGCGGAGGGGCCTGGGCCATCTCTGTTTCCACACTAGAGTCACCTTTGCTATGGCCTCACAAGGGCCAAGATTCGTGCCTCAGCAAAAGTACACATTCTTGTTTGGATGGACTTTAGGGTCCCCGGATGTAGTTGACAGAGCAGAGGGGTGACTAAGGCATCCTGGATCAGAGGGTTTTGGGGTTCAGAACTGATGGGCAGCCAGAACCCCCTGCTTTCTACTGGAAAGCTTGGTCATCTGTGGGAAAGTCAGCAAGTGTGCTGTGTGTGTCACTGGTGTGAGTGTGCTCACTTACGTGTGTCATGAGGGCAATACTATCAGTAATCTTGATGACGTGATTGGGCTCCATCCATCCTTACGAAAAACATTTCTTAGGGTGTTTATTCACGTGGTGGGTGGTATTGGACTAAAGAATTTATTTTGGCTGTTGTTTGGGATAAAGACAGGACTTGGGAGGAACTTTGGTCTAGCGGTAGAGTGAGTTTAATCACTGAAATCATCGCAGAAACCTAAAATCTTCTGGTGGAGAAGCATCTGTTGTCTTCAGGTGAATCTTTAGATTATGTGTGAGTAGGCTGTTGCTATTTTAGTTAGTGGGAATGTTTTTTTATTTAGAATTTGACTTTTAAATTTTATCCTTTTTTCAGAAATGATGTTGCATCACAAACTCTAGTTTTATTATTTTTTTAAGATTCCACAAAATTATCAAGAAGTGTCAGAGGAAGACTTATGGCCTTCCATGATGGTATACTGACAATTCACAGCATTCATAATCTTAAGATCCTTTATCAGAAGCCAAATTTGGATTAAGGTTGCCTTTGTTTCTTTGTTTCTTCTTTTTTTTTTTTTTATTTTTGGCGAGGCCACCCTTGGTTGACCTCACAGATTGCAAGGACTTTATCAGCTTACAATCCCTTACTTATTTTTATTTTTTTATTTTTTACTCCTATAGCACCTGGTCTTCCTAGGTGGTCCTATCGAAGTACTAACCAGGCCCGACCCTGCTTAGCTTCCGAGATCAGACGGGATTAGGCTTGTTCAGGGTGGCATGGCCGTAGAGTGCCTTTGTTTCCTGAAATTATTTGGGGGTGTCACGCCCTGCCTTCTCAGCCTGACTTTTGTCCCCACAGCCATTCCGGCTCTGCAGCCCATAGTCCACGACCTCTTCGTGTTAAGAGGAACCAATAAAGCCGACGCAGGAAAAGAGCTGGAAACCCAGAAGGAGGTGGTGGTGTCGATGTTGCTGAGGCTCGTCCAGTACCATCAGGTGAGAGGGGGCGAGGGCGCCACTGTCCCCTGTCCCCGCAGGGACAGAGGAGCTGGCCTGGGCACCGCTCTCCCGCGTCAGCGGTGTTGCCCTGCGCCAGCCTGGGTGCTCAGGCTGGGGAGATGCCAGGGAGTGGACAGTCTGGTAGGGTCTGTCTGTAAGCAGTGCAGCCATGTGGGGAGGCCGCCGCCACCCAGCTGACAGTCACAGCTTAGCTGAGGGACTGAGCATGGCGGAGGCCCTCTTTCCAAAACGAGGACCCAGAATCGATTAATTGGAAAATGTTGATTTAAATGACAGAATTCTAAAAACTGATTTTAAAAAAATCTCAAATCTGATATAATTTGAAGACTTTGTTTTCCATCATGCTGATGCAGGCCCGAGGGCTGTTTCCTTGAGCTGCTTCCGGCCTTGCTTTCCTTAAGGCGGGGCCGGAAGTCACAGAGGGTCAGGCGGTGAAAGTGGGAACTCTGGCTTCTTTAGTGACTCGTGTCTTTTGGCTTGTACAGTGGCCCAGCCTCACTTATTCTGTAACTTTTCTTAGTTATTCGTCTTTGAATCTTTATAAAGCCTAAACTTTTCTCATAGAAACATTTTCTTTGTACATTCTCATCTTGGTTAATCTAGGTAATATTTAATTAAATGCTTGGTGTTTAATTAGATCCCATGATTACAATAACAACTACAATTGCCATAGAAAAGTTTGAGAACCAGTGACTGACTCTCAGCAGGCACGCTGGGTGGTGGGAGGCCTAGAGGGCGGCTTATGAGCCGCACGTGTTCCAGAACCTCCAGGCCTGGTGTACAAGGGAACAGAGTGGGCTCTGGTCTCTGTCAAGAGCCGGGATTCGTGGAGAGCTCCCTGGGCAGCTGAAGCTCGGTGGCCCCCTGCAGGGGAGGAGGCTGTGGGACACAGGGCGGCATGGACAGTGGGCTTCGGTGGCTATGTCTCTTACTTTGTAGCCGTTGTATTTTGTACACCAGGTCAGCAAACTTGTCTCTAAACAAGCAGATGACAAACACTTTAAGCTTTGCAGACCATACGGCATCTGTTGCAACTCCTCACATCAGCCGTTGTGGACGAAAGCAGTCCTCGTCAGAATGTTCACCAAAGGGGTGTGGCTGTGTGCCAGTAAAACTTTATTTGCAAATACAGCTATCTGTTTAAAAGATCACTAATAAACTCGTGCTCAACCACACATAACTCTTATGAAAGGAGGTACTAGCGGGTAGGAGATCTTTGCAAAGAACACAGAGTTGAAATTAGTGTACACGAAAGTCGTGAAGCCTCTGCAGAATACTTTAGTTAGGGCTGTGTTTACGTCTGTGTTTGCCAAAGGGTAACGTAAGTTTGCTTTTCCTTTTGTGCCTTTCCTCCGACCGTGAAGTCTGTAAACTCCACAGAAATGGCGGCGAGGGCGGCCATCCTGAGGACTTTGCTCCCGGCCCCTCGTGTCGTCTTCTGTCTCTCCCAGCTCGGTGTCCCAGGGCCAGCATCACGTGGGCTCATGGGGCCCTCGCCGGGGAGCGCGTTGATTTGGTTCGGGTCCTGGAGTCCCACAGTGGAGCGGAGGTCGGCACGAGGGAGTGTGTGGCGACGAGTAGGTGACTGTGCCCATTCTCCTCGCAGGTGCTCGAGATGTTCATTCTGGTCCTGCAGCAGTGCCACAAGGAGAGCGAAGACAAGTGGAGGCGGCTCTCGCGGCAGATAGCCGACGCCATCCTCCCGATGCTCGCCAGACAGCAGGTGCGTCCCCCGCCGCCGCGACACACTTGCGCGTGGGGAAGAGTCCCGGGACTGGCTTTTCAGTAAGTCACGACAGGCCGATTTTAGGATGGTGGTTGTTGGTGCTGGTCGTGGGGCCAGGGATGGCCCCCAAGGTAGGCCCCCCCCAGGACATTGCTGCCAGCAAAGCTTTGAGTCTTCAGCACTTTGGAAAGTCAGCAGACTCGTTGGTCCCTCCTGCACGTCTGGCCAGGGAGGCGAGTGCTCTGGACGACACAGGGCTCGTGACAGGGACGTTCACTGGGGACGTGCAGGCAGACACACCGCAGCAGTATTCGCTGTCTTCGTGACTTCAGCCCAGCTCTGCTTGCATTTGGACTTGTCATCCTGAGGCCACTTAGATGGAGGGAGGGTGTCTCGGCTTCCGGAGAGATTGGCAGACGGCAGTTTTAACGTCGGCGGATTTGCTGTTCACTGCTCAGGACTCCGTGCCCGCAGGTGCACATTTTCACAGGGACGCTCTGAGAGCTTTCTCGCGTTCTCCTGCCTCTCATGGGCGCAGTCTGAGGAAGGTGGGGGGTGAGGGCCGGAAAGCGCCAGTCGGCGCCCGACTTCATTTCCGCCACTCTGAAGCTGCGATGGCACGACTGTGCCGCACTTCACGGCGCCTCCCGGGCCACCATGCGTGGGGACGGGCCGCATGAGCATGCAGTGCTGGCAGCAGGCACCCCAGTGAACTGAGCCGATCTCGGGGGGAAGGTTTTACTAGAATAGGGGGTGGAGGAGACACACGACAGAAAAGTCAGCGTATGAAACGGCAGACGTACTGCCGTGCGGGAAATGGAGGCGAGGAGAGGTGGGCGAGCCCGCATGGAACCGCTTTGTTCCCTGGGTGACGTCTGAGCAAACCTGAAGGACAGCACAGGCCAGCCCCGCGCAGAGCTGGGCGGACAGCCTCCAGCAGAGAAAAGGGCAGCACAGACCCCGAGGCCGGAGCGTCCTGTTAGGACGCGGGATGGCTGGAGGCCAGTGACTCTGGGGATGGGTAGGCCGAGGGCAGAGCAGGGAGGTCCACGTGCAGTGCGGGCATGTGGACCAGGGTGCTAGAAGTGATGTGGCAGGAAGTGGCCCTCTGCTAGGTGCAGTCTGGTGGCAGAGCCCGTAGGCTTTGCTGACGGCCTTGGTGTGGGGTGTGAGCAGGAGGCGTGCGGGTCCTTCCAGGACGTGGCTGCTGCTGTCTGCCACGTGGGGACTGAGAGCAGTGGGTTTCAGGGGGAGGCAGAGCCTGGTCTGGGTGTGTTCAGTCGGGACGCCTGGTAGGCACTTTGGGGAGGCTGCCGCAGGCATTGGGACCAAGTCTTACGTCATTGGGAGAGAGCAGGACAGCAAGTAGACAGCTGAGGCTGGACGGGTCACTGTGGGACCCAGGTGGCTGAGGGGAGGGAAGACTGAGCTCCGAGCCAGGCAGCCCCAGCTCAGGCCGGAGAGGGGAGGGGAAGCCCTTGGAGGAGCTGGGGCAGGGGCAGCCTGACAGGAGGGCACAGTGTTCTTAGAGCCAGGAAGAGGGGCTCACACCAGCCCAGCCCGGTCAGTGAGCCTGGGAGTTGGGCCGGGTCTGGCAGCAAGGAGGGCCCTGGGGAGGGAGTGGAAGCCACGCCTGGCTGGAGCGTGCTGGTGAGAGGACTCGCAGACATTTATCTAAGAAGGATTAGAGAGGGGGCAGCAGCCGGAGGAGAGGGGTCTGTGGGGGAGCTGCGAGGAAGGAGGGCCTGTGTGTTCACTGAGGACAAACGCAGAGGGCGCTGGCGATGCGGGACCCACCACGTTGCCACCGCGGTGTCCCTGAGCAGACGGCAGACCCAGAGTTCGGAGCAGCTGCATACCTGGCTGTAGGTGTGGTGGGCTCTGGTAAGGGCTGGCACAGGTGGGAGGAGTCAGGGAGCTCACCAGCTTCTAGATTGTTCCCTTACAGCTCTGGTACAGCTCAGCCCTGTATGCTGTACAGTTTTCAGATCTGCACCTTGAAGAAAATCACGTCTCTGTAGAGATGTTGATTCTCTATGTATACTTGTTAGTAGTGACAAAAATTGGAAACAGTGCCTATCATCACTAGGGGGGCAGTTGAGTGCATTGTGGTAGAGACTTGCAGTGTTTTGCATCCATTAAAAATATTAGATTCTAAAGCCTATTGCTTTGAGAGTTTTCCATTGTAGTTTTAAGGACAAAAGGCAGAGATATTTATATGATCTTTCAAAACAACTTAAACATCTCTCTTTGTGTGGTGCATGGTTATAGGAACGTGGAGAAGGTTAAGAAAGAGGAGCACTCCAGTCTGCTGAGCAGGGTAGGGATGGGGCTCAGGTCAACCAAAGAAAGGCAAAGCGGTGTGTATTGTACCCGTTTAGGTAACATACCTGTGCGTATCGAAGAGCTGCATGAGAGGTGTGCTCCTCAGATGTTGGTGACGATGGTATCGGGGTGCGATTCCAGCTGATTTTTTTAATGCTTTTGTACATTTAAGTCTTTGTATGGAAAACACATATTGTTTATGTGATAAAAATCTAAATGAAAGATTTGCTCTGCAGAAAAAATGCAGCTGACGCTGTGGTGGTCTAAGTTTGGCCTGGCTGACTACTGACGTTAAAGTGCGTTTCAGTGCTGGGCGGTGACGGGCGATGGTCAAGGTCACCGACCTGGAGAGGCCCAGCCTGAGGTTAAGTGCGGTGTTTTTATTTTCATTGCAACAGATGCACATCGATTCTCACGAAGCCCTCGGAGTGTTAAACACTTTATTTGAGATCCTGGCCCCTTCCTCCCTCCGGCCCGTGGACATGCTTTTACGGAGTATGTTTGTCACTCCAGATACAATGGTGAGTTTCCTGTCTCATGGTGGCATCTCAGATTCAACACTCTGCGGTCACCCAGGGCTCTGCTGGGGCCAGGTGGGGCCTGAGAACTGATACTTTAAACAGGTGCCCGGGGGTGCCCCTGCTGACTGTTGGGGACCACAGTTTGACAACCCGTGACCCAGAGATTTATTGGTAGAATGGTAAATAACATAGAGCGATCTTCATTCGTGAAGTCAGCAGCCAGGAAAAGCGGAATCCTCTTCGCTCTTGACCTATAACTGGTCTGTTTTCTTTCTCGTAGGCATCTGTGAGCACTGTTCAGCTCTGGATCTCGGGAATCCTGGCCATTCTGAGGGTTCTGATTTCCCAGTCAACCGAAGAGATCGTTCTTTCTCGGGTCCAGGAGCTCTCCTTCTCGCCGTACTTACTCTCCTGTCCAGTAATTAACAAGTTAAGAGACGGGGAGAGTGGTTCAGGCCCAGAGGAGCGCAGCGAAGGGAAGCAGGTGAAGAGTTTGCCGGAGGAAACGTTTTCAAGGTGTGCTGCAGGCCCGGCCCTCCCCGCAGTCCTTTGCAGGCGGTAGGGCACTGCCATCTCGTGAGCAAGGAAAGCGATATGCAGAGGCCAGGGGCTCAGTCTGGGGTGGTTTAAAGAGTCCATTTGTTGTGCTTTATTCATATTTTTTAAAATTAAATTTATTGGGGTGACATTGTTTAATAAGATTGTAAATTTCCAGTGTACAGCACTAATGCGTCATCTGCATATTGCATCGTGTGCTCCCCACTCACACTTCAGTCTCCCTCTGTCCCCATATACTTGACCCCTTTGGCCCTCTTCAGCTCCCCCCGGTCAGCGGCAGACTGTCGTCTGTGTAATGTCCACCTGCACTTTTCCTGTGCTGCGTCTGCTGCGTGTGTTTCTGCATGTCCACCTCACGTGCGCGCTCCATGATGTCGCCTCCCTCTCCATCGCCCTCTCCCCCGAAGGTTCCTCCTGCAGCTGGTGGGCGTCCTCTTGGAGGACATTGTTACGAAGCAGCTGAGAGTGGAAGTGAGCGAGCAGCAGCACACCTTCTACTGCCAGGAGCTGGGCACGCTGCTCATGTGCCTGATCCACGTCTTCAAGTCCGGTAGGTGCGCCGGCCAGCCCCCCCGCAGGGGCCGCGCCGCAGAAGGCGACTTTGAAAGTGTTCATTGGTGATAAGAGTAACCCTGAGGGCCTCCTCCTGTTAAATATCAGGGAGGCCTCGATGTTTTTGTTACCTTTATATATGATCGTGAATGAAAAGGACAGTGAGCCCCAGAGAGGAGTCACAAGAGGCCAGCCATGCATCAAGCATAGGCAGAGACCAGTCTGTGTCAGGACAGTTAGCGTTTTCCAGGAGCAGTAAGTGTTTTCTAGAAGAAAGCTTTGCTTTAGACCGAATGAGAGAAGCCGGAGACTTTGGTTGCGGGGTGCAGGCGCATCCTTCTGTCAGCAG